TTATTATTATTATTATTATTATTATTATTATTATTATTATTATTATTATTATTATTATTATTATTATTATTATTATTATTATTATTATTATTATTATTCTAGTCTAGTCTATATAAAAATTCAATGCTTAAAAGCTATTGAGTTCATTTTATTGTCAGAATAGTGCTTCCTTTTTACATTAATTTTTATCTGTCCATTATATATAGCAGTGATGGCGAACCTTTTAGAGACCGAGTGCCCAAACTGCAACTCAAAACCCACTTATGCATCGTCGAGTGCCGGGTGGGTGTGGCCCATTGGCTGGGTGTGGCCAATTGGGTGGGTGTGGCCCATTGGGTGGGCGTGGTTGTGATGGTAACGGAAGACTGGGTGGGACTAAAAAGTTCAATCAATCAATTCCAACTTTGCAAGATCTTTTTTTTTCCCACAAGAAGTTGAAATTGACTGATTGAATCTTTTTTTTTTTTTGCACACAGCAACGGAGGCCTAAAGCGAAAAAGTTTTATAAAATCCAGCTGAAGGTCTAGGACTGGGGCGATGCCGTGCGTGCCCACAGAGAGGGCTCTGAGTGCCACCTCTGGCACCCGTGCCATAGGTTCGTCACCACTGATATATAGCATGTAAAAAATGGAAGATAGCTACAGAAATTATATTGGTGCTCTCTTGAAAAGGCATTGAATTTGCAGATTAATAACATTTCATATATTTCAGCTTGCCACCAGCAGCTTCTTTATAATACCACCCTACATGATATAAAGCAAGTGTGATGTGCATGTTGTTATTGTAGGTATCTTAAACCCATTTCTAGTTAGGCAGGTATAATTTTTTTAGAGTAGACAACATGATTCCACAAAAAGCCAATATGTAAGAGTTTGTTGGTGGAAATTAATCCCTACATTCATCTTCTTTAGGATTGATGAAAGGATTCAATTGATTTTTATTTCCCTGCAACAGAATGTATTTATACAACTTTCACTGGCATTCAGAAATGATAGCTATACATTGGAATCAAGAATTAATCAAGCTGAAAGGGAGAGAAATCTTGCTGAAGAAAATACAGAGAAGGAATTAGACAACTTCAGGGGAGCAGTTACGGTAAGACAAAACATGCTGGGTACCTTTATTGTGGTCTGTTGTGTATCTTTAAATTTTCAATAGGTTACTTGTTAGATTTCTGTCTTGCTGTTTTTTATATAGAAACTCAAGGCAGGGTACATAGAATTTCTTCCTCTATGATTTCCCACAGTTACAACACTGTGAGTTGTAAGAGAGTGGTCTAACTGAGTGATTGTCATGCAAGGAGCTTCCATGATGGACTCAAACTCCAAAATCCAAACAGTTTGGAAATAATCAGGACAGCCCATTTCAAATTCAGAACAATAGAAAACTTGAATATTTAAAATTCTGAAGACCTTTACTTCCATCATGAACTTACTATCACTAGAATTTGTGTAAGATCAGAAATGGCTTCAGTGAAAAAAGGTACATGGGCAGAATGGACAGTTTACTTTCTGTCTATCTATCTATCTGTTTGTCTATTCATCCATCTGTCCACCCACCCACCCAACTATTCATCTGTCCATGCATGCATCTATTCATCCATGCATGCATCCATCTATCCATCCATGCATTCATCCATGTATGCATCCATTCATTCATCCATACATCCATCTGTTGCTTTGGATCATGATTTCTTGAAATCCAACTACCATCATTTTGAAGTAGTATCCATTTTTAAGAAAGTTGATTGTACTTGTAATAATACTAATTGACATGACATATTAAAAGTTGCCATGGTTTCTGACTAAAAGTTTCCACTTGATGGGGTAAAGCCATTTTCAAAATTTTAGATCCAAACTTCGGCTATGTTCATTTTTTAGGTATAAAAAAGAGCCTAAGAATTCAAATATTTGGAGTTAACAACAACTACTAATAAGGAAAAGTATGGCTAAACAATTAATTCAGCAAAGCATGTATTTCCCTGACTGGAGTCAGGCAGGCTTCTGACTTTTCTTTTGGTAAAATATAAAAACATTTTAAATTCTAATCATGAAGACCTGTCTTTTATCTCTTCAAGTTACATGTTTTCTAACATTACACTAAAAATACAGTATATTGTTCAGGTGTTTTATATTTTCTTCATTAATAGTGGATTGGTGGAAGAAGTGTAAATTACAAGTAGGTTATAGTTAGAAGATCATTATTATGCTTTATGCTTTTCTGAGTGAGAGCAGGACAAATGGATGATGAAAGCCTGCTCTTGGCCAAGTAATTATTTAGACATTGACTGTCAACAGTATGTTTAGAATAAAAGAAACTCCTTTCATGTCTATATTATATTTTCAAGTTTTTAGATTTTTAGAAACAGATGAAAACTTTTATTTTAATATGTTTATTGCAAATTATCCTTCTATAGCTTTGTTGCACTTTGGCTTTTAAGATTCAAATAATAATTAATAATATTTTTAATTTATAATATAGTTAATATGTTATGGAATACTCTGTTTCAGTCTTCAGCTTCCTTGTGGCATCACTCTGAACACAGAGATATGTACCAGAAAGTATTGGAAGACATTGCTGTGCTTCATCGTTTGGCTTCAAGACTGTCCAGTCGGGCTGAAATGGTTGGCGCTGTTCGTCAGGTAAAAACTGAGGATGAACCATATATTCTCAGTCTGAATTGATTATTGATCAATCTGTGACTGAACTCTAGCTGAAAAAGAGGCTGAAACCAAGACAACAGGCAAGGTCTTAAAACAATATCCAAAAGTTTGAACCCACTAAGCTGGATTTTTGGTCCAACTACACTGGTAGTCTCTCTTCCCCCCCCCCATACCATTAGCAACCTCTATGGTTCCAATCAGATTTTTTTTTTCATCCCATTCAAACATTCAAACACCATTCTGGCCTTGTGAGAACATAGATCTAACAATTTCTTATAATCCAAAATAACTTTATTGCTTATAGCAAGTTCAGACTGATACAGACTGATACAGTGGAAAGGTAGCTGAAGGTCCTGTCAGTTCACACAGAATAAATTGTTGAGATAAGATAAACTAATCAATAGATTGGAAGAAAAATGTACATAATAACAAGATTAACAAAATTGTGGCTTGGTTGTCGTAAACAACTGTTGATCCTGAGGATCTTCTCTTCAGAACGGAGGATCTCAGAATATCCAGTACTTTGGGAGTTCTTTGGATCAGATTGCATCCAGGCAACCACCTTGAATAGCATGATAGCTTCTGCCCTTAATGGGTCATAGATTGAAAGACAGAATTTAGATACTGAGAACATTCATTTGAATATTACCGGTAATAACAAAAAAAGGAAAAATGACATTCTATAACAATGGCATTTCCATAACAATATGGGCCAAATTGAAGACTTTTCTGCAATTGGCAGGGTCTACTTTTGAGTAAAATCATATAGCTAAAAACTGTTATATACTGCTGCTTCCTTGATATCAAAAATAGAACTTTATGTGCATTGTTCTTATCTATTCCTTCAAGGAGAAACGTATGTCAAAGGCCACAGAAGTTATGATGCAGTATGTAGAGAATTTGAAAAGAACATATGAAAAGGATCATGCTGAGCTCATGGAGTATAAGAAACTTGCTAATCAAAATTCTAGCAGAAGCTATGGTTCACCAGGTAAAGCATCCTGAGATTTTAAAGACACATTTACATTGCTGTAAAACCTTTATTTGCTCTTTCACACAGTTACAGATAATACAGGGTGTCCCAAAACTCTTACTGTGATTTTAAGAAAGCTTAAAATTACCCTAAAACTTTAAGGACATCTTGTCTATATAATAATAATAATAATAATAATAATAATAATAATAATAATAATAATAATAATAATAATAATAATAATAATAATAATAATAATAATAATAATAATAATAATAATAATAATAATAATAATAATAAGGTTGGAAGGGACCTTGGAGGTCATCGAGTCCAACCCCCTGCTCAGGCAGGCAGGAAACCCTACACCATTTCAGACAGATGGCTGTCCAGTCTCTTCTTAAAAACTTCCAGTGTTGGAGCATTCACCGCTTCTGGAGGCAGGTTGTTCCATTGGTTAATTGTTCTAATTGTGCATCTTGATTTAGTCTTAGCAGGAGGCAGCCCGAGGCATAAAAACTAAGTACAAACAGGCTTGGTTAGTACATGCTTTACTAAAGAATTCCAGAGCTCAGAGCTAAAATGAGAAGTGAAAAACATCCTGGAAAGCAGGCAGTGGCAAAGCTGTTATCAAATTGTGGCCATGGCTATGAAGTCACCTGGAATCAAATAATTCCACTTAAATAATACTGTACTTTTAAGAAAAATATTGATTTTAAAAAATACTGTGAGATTGTAACATGTTCAGCCAAAATGATGATACATAAATTGATCATTATAATAATATGTTATCATAGTTTATAATAATGTTTAATGTTGTTTGATATGAATATCAATACAAAATAATTGGTGTTTGTGTTTTCTACTATCATTTTTTTTCATTTGATTTTGTTTTCATACTTTGCAACAGATGACGGTGTGCCTCGTACATCAAGATCCATGTCTCTTTCTATTGGAAAGGTATTTTTTTTCAAATTTTAATAAACTGTTTAATACACTATTAAAAATTGTTAACTATACTCATGCTCTTCTGTAAATATCCTTGTCCAATGAGATGAATCAGGCAACTACTTAAGAGAAGGCTATTACTCATGGTGTCCTAGATAGGATATTTCATCCAAAGGGTTTACAACACACCCAAGCCAGTTTATGATCTTTTTTCCAGCTTAGCTGCAATGCAGAAGGAAAGTTCCATGAAACTGATTTTTATCTGAAAATACAGGAGATCTGCAAAATGTGGCAAAACAGTTTCCTCCTTTGAGAGAATTGTTGTCTTATCTTTCCTCCCAGTTTTGGAATATTAGCCTGAAGGCGTAATAATTTTATTTCCCCCCCCTCACTAGCCCACATAAAGTGATTGAAGTAAAACTGCTGATACACTGGCACTTTCCCCTGTGTCTTAGGCAGGGAATGAGCCACGTGCAAAGCACCAGGCTGCTTGGACTTTTGGTTTGGCTTGCTGGTTTTTTTTTCTTTTGTGGAAAACTGTGTTGGGTGGCTACATGAGACTTGTACTATTGCAACAGTGTGAGGTGGGACCATGATTGAAAAACGGAAATAGTGATAGTGAAGTGTTTCGAAGAAAACTTAAATTTAACATAATATATAATTTGGCCCTTAGGAAGCCACTACATTAAGAACTTAGCTATCGGAGACAGCAGAACTGAGGCAAGAAATAGGGAATCGGCTCCACTGGAGACAGTTAAGTTTGCTTCTAAATAAACATGTATAAAATTATCCTGCACTTTACACTCTGTGGGATTCTTTTATAGAAGTGTTATGGAGCCATAGAAACTATTACCATTGCTTGAAAGTTACAATAAAATTACTTTGTGAATTTTATAGAATTGTATAGCAACTGTATCCTGAAGTCTCATGTTTTGCTCTGATCTGTTAGTTGTATTTCCCTTGAAACTATTATGAATGTCTAAATTGAAATATAACATGATTTTTTGTTTTAGATGCCTCGAAGAAGAGTCAGTGTTGCTGTTGTTTCAAAGTTTGAGCTCCCAGGCCAGTCACCTAGCCAGTCACCCATACTTTTGGTGTCATCTTCCTTGGTAAAATTTAAACTTGGAAAATTGTATATAAAGAATAAAGCTTTGATTTCAATTAATTAAAATGCCATATATTCTAAATCTGGCACATTGAGGTTCATATAAATATAAATTAATAATTACATTTACTCTCCAAATAAGCCATTAGTATGCAGTTGGAAATGAAAAAGTATCTTGAAACATTTATCAATCTTCCAGATCATAGTGAAATCATTGTCCATTGGATAAATTAATTATTTGGAAAATATACAGATTATATTTTTAATGTGATTAGGGTATTCTCATATACTAAATGCAATTTATGCTCTTGATATTTGAACGGCATTGAATGAATATCTTTATTTACAGCCTGAATCATCAAACGGAAGAAGCAATTTGACATCAACTCCAGTCTTACCTGCAGTTATAGAGAAGTGAGTACATGAATATTTATTTCATTAAGAGTGATACAGTAGACAATTTTAAGTGGCATTGAAATATCTTCTTTTTTTAAAAAAAAAAAGCAAGGCAATATAATACAGTTCGGTAATATACATAGTAATATATATATACACATATTGTAATATAGTAAATAGTAATACAGCAAGGGGTCAACTGTATTACTCTTCTTTATACATTTTGAAGAACAAATATAATTATCTTTTTGGTGGAGTATTTGTTTTTGCACTAGGATTCTAGGAAAAGAATATGGTTGGGCTTACATATCTGTTTCTTTGTCCAAATGTTCAGAAATAAAACCAACTTTGCAAAAAAAAAAAAGGGGGGGGTATATAAGACTGCATCCTTAAAAATGGTTAAAGTAATGTCATATGCATCAAAACCTTGTGTTTTAGAGAGAAATTGAGTTCATTGGGAATTAACCATTCAATAAATTTATATAAGATTATAGCTTCAAGCTGTGATGAGACCCATGGTCTCATGGTATTCTGTGCCTAGCTCAAGTCAGCATTGATTGTATCTGTTTCTTACTTGCTATGTCCCGCACATAGAATTAAAATGGCTCATTTAATTCAATCCCGTCATAATTTGCTCAGAGCAGAAATCCAACTTTAAAAATCTCCAGAGATGGCTATCCAGTTTCTGATTGATTGTTAGAGTTTAATAGATCACATCTACAGATAGTCATCATTTAGATCCCCTATTAACTAGCAATAGTAGTAGAAATACAGACTAGTTAATTAAATCCTAGCTAGATTCAGATGCCATATCTGGTCTTTCCCATCAATTCCTTTAACCATATTTTTACAAAGCAGTCTATATTGGCTACTCATTTTCTAGTGCTAACTAGACTCTGTATTACACAAACTGACTATCTTCTGTGCAAAAACATACATAGGGGCAAATCTGACATAAAAAATAATATCTTTGAGGCTAAGGATCTTTTCATCTTAGTATGTGATTATATATTTGTGTGTGTGTGTGTAGCTGCTAAGTTAGATTGACTATGACCACTTACTTAAAGGTGGGACCTTTAAATAAAAAAACTACATCACTGATAGTGTCAGCGATATAATATAACATTAAGTCTCATTTGTAATCATTCCAAGATATTATGAATGATACAGTAGTTTACTGTATTCCTGAACAAAGATGCTTAAATATTTTTATTTCCTTCATTTCCAAAACATAGCCACGCCAAGAGTGTCATGTTTGTGCCAAAAGAATACTGTTAGGAATACAGGATGTTCTGTGTTTTGGAACAGTGCATGAACGCATTTCCTAGAAAGCCTGTATTATATTGGCAGCTATTTTCCCTGGACAAAGAATTTGTCATCTTCAGGAAATACAGCACATTTGAAAAAAAGTATTCTGCTGACGTTTTGGAATAATGACTAATGATTTGTAAACTAGTACAATATACAATATAAGTACAATGCTTAAAATGATCCTATTTATGTGCTTTGTGTCTATTATAATTCTTTATCTCCATGACAAGTTCTGGGGTTTCTTTTTAAAGACAAGTTTCAGTTAGAGAGAAAAGAAATACTGGAAACTGGGGAGAAAAAAGCGTTTCCCCCCAAATAAATAAATGAACTACAAGCACTGATGGTGTGTGTGTGTGTGTGTGTGTGTGTGTGTGTGTGTGTGTGTGTGTGTGTGTGTGTGTGTGTAAGTGTTTATACATTTACCCTTGGGTCACTTATAATTTCTTGTTTTTATTTTTTTCCCTACTTTTAAATATAAGCCACCCATATTTGGGGAACCTATAAATTGTATAAATAAATAAGAGAAAACAATTGGGCCTTGGCAAAGCGTATGAGTTACTTGTGAGTAGTAATTGTTTTCAGCAAACAAAGCAATAGTATAGTCAATAATGTTCTATGGGGATAATTCTTTGTGTAGCTGCTTACCAAAGACTCCTAAGAAATTCCTTCATGTTAATGGAGTGGCCCATTAATGAACTGTAAGTGCTTGTATACTGGGCCTTGTGTGAAGAAACTCTACCATTCACAAATTATGGTGGAACTAACTAAGAATGTGCAAATTAAGGCAAAACTTCATGTTCTTAGTGGGAGCTTCTAAGGACATAAATAGGTCCAAAAATAAGGACGGCAAGAAGTGATTTAAATCTGAACAAATTACAAGCAACTATCTATCAAAGAAAGATGATTAGAAAGGACAAATAAGGAAACAATAAGGGGGCATGATGGCTCAGTAGTTAAAGACTCTGAGACCCAAACTGGGCAACAGGGTGAGCTCCCATTCTTGCACCAGCTCCTGCCCACCTAGCAGTTCGAAAGCATGCAAATGCAAGTAGATAAACAGGTACCACGATGGTGGGAAGGTAACAGTGTTCCATGTGCCTCGGCGTATAGTCACACACTGAGTCATATGCTCATGACCATGGAATATCTTTGCACAATGCTGGCTCCCTTAGCTAAGAAATGGAGATAAGCACCACCCTCTAGAGTTGGAGGGGAAACATTTACCTTTATCTTTAAGGAGACAATAAGAACTCAGGTTTGAGTCAATTGGGTATAAAATACTGTAGCTCAAATGTATTTGTACAGATACTAGGACTATTTGTCAGACCTCTGTGTGATTTGAAGTTTAATAGACTGATTTACAACTTGTATTCTGTTAAAAAGTCTCTATTCTAACAATCCTGACAATTCACCACTCTTCCCTGCAGTAGAACAGGAATGGGCGACCAGGCTTTATTTGGCATATCAAGAGTGGTTTATTCCAAAAATGGATGAAGTGCCGGGGGTCGGGGGAAAAATGAATGGGGCTCAGTGGCCATCTTCTGCAACCCGCAATCCTCATATCATACTGTGTGCATTCCTGCAATGGTGTGACTCAACTGTCTTCAGGCAATGAAAGAGACAGAGGATATTTTAAAATTCTCTCTTTGCTTTATGGTGGCAGAATGTCCTAAGGAAACCCAGTCTTTCTTTCCCTTTTCTTCAAGCAACAATCAGCTTGGTATACAGTAATTTGGGGTGTGTTTCGTATGAGGCATGTCAATAGTGTTAGTTATTATTTGACAAGCCTCAAATGAAACACACCACAAATTACTGTATACTGTACCAAGGGAATTCAGCTATTTTTGTACATTGATACAAAATACCACAGGCCAGGTGAGATGAGTAATATAAAATATGTACCTTCTCAGCTGGTTGGCATCTGATGGAGGAGGAGGAACTGAGAGAGGATTAAAGAGGGAATTTGTTGCCTAAATAATGTTTAAACTCCTAAATGTAAACAGCAGACTTTCCCAGGAAAAGCAGTATGACTTTTGTAGTGTTTTCCAGGAATTTTTGCTTTCTCATAGATGCTTCCAGGAGATAGGGGGCCCATGAAACTGTGGTATGAGATATTCAGTACAATCGTAAATAAATCAGACAAGATGAGAAACAGCTAGATTGTATTCCTGTGGGCTTTTTAAAAAAATGTATTTTTAAATAAGAACTGCATGAGTTACTTGTCCTGGGAGAAAAGCATAAATTATACATCATTTTAGAACAATTTGGACAATTTGCAGAAATGGGTTAAACTGAATTCTCCCCACCTACCCAGTTGCAGTCCTGATCTATATGGGGGCATCTTCTCTAATTTTGCTCGAAGAGTACAAAGCATGTAACGTNTCATCCAAAGGGTTTACAACACACCCAAGCCAGTTTATGATCTTTTTTCCAGCTTAGCTGCAATGCAGAAGGAAAGTTCCATGAAACTGATTTTTATCTGAAAATACAGGAGATCTGCAAAATGTGGCAAAACAGTTTCCTCCTTTGAGAGAATTGTTGTCTTATCTTTCCTCCCAGTTTTGGAATATTAGCCTGAAGGGGTAATAATTTTATTTTCCCCCCCCTCACTAGCCCACATAAAGTGATTGAAGTAAAACTGCTGATACACTAGCACTTTCCCGTGTCTTAGGCAGGGAATGAGCCACGTGCAAAGCACCAGGCTGCTTGGACTTTTGGTTTGGCTTGCTGGTTTTTTTTTTCTTTTGTGGAAAACTGTGTTGGGTGGCTACATGAGACTTGTACTATTGCAACAGTGTGAGGTGGGACTATGATTGAAAAACGGAAATAGTGATAGTGAAGTGTTTCGAAGAAAACTTAAATTTAACATAATATATAATTTGGCCCTTAGGAAGCCACTACATTAAGAACTTAGCTATCGGAGACAGCAGAACTGAGGCAAGAAATAGGGAATCGGCTCCACTAGAGACAGTTAAGTTTGCTTCTAAATAAACATGTATAAAATTATCCTGCACTTTACACTCTGTGAGATTCTTTTATAGAAGTGTTATGGAGCCATAGAAACTATTACCATTGCTTGAAAGTTACAATAAAATTACTTTGTGAATTTTATAGAATTGTATAGCAACTGTATCTTGAAGTCTCATGTTTTGCTCTGATCTGTTAGTCGTATTTCCCTTGAAACTATTATGAATGTCTAAATTGAAATATAACATGCTTTTTTGTTTTAGATGCCTCGAAGAAGAGTCAGTGTTGCTGTTGTTTCAAAGTTTGAGCTCCCAGGCCAGTCACCTAGCCAGTCACCCATACTTTTGGTGTCATCTTCCTTGGTAAAATTTAAACTTGGAAAATTGTATATAAAAATAAAACTTTGATTTCAATTAATTAAAATGCCATATATTCTAAATCTGGCACATTCAGGTTCATATAAATATAAATTAATGATTACATTTACACTCCAAATAAGCCATTAGTATGCAGTTGGAAATGAAAAAGTATCTTGAAACATTTATCAATCTTCCAGATCATAGTGAAATCATTGTCCATTGGATAAATTAATTATTTGGAAAACATACAGATTATATTTTAATGTGATTAGGGTATTCTCATATACTAAATGCAATTTATGCTCTTGATATTTGAATGGCATTGAATGAATATCTTTATTTACAGCCTGAATCATCAAATGGAAGAAGCAATTTGACATCAACTCCAGTCTTACCTGCAGTTATAGAGAAGTGAGTACATGAATATTTATCTCATTAAGAGTGATACAGTATATAAAACTGCATCCTTAAAAATGGTTAAAGTAATGTCATATGCATCAAAACCTTGTGTTTTAGAGAGAAATTGAGTTCATTGGGAATTAACCATTCAATAAATTTATATAAGATTATAGCTTCAAGCTGTGATGAGACCCATGGTCTCATGGTATTCTGTGCCTAGCTCAAGTCAGCATTGATTGTATCTGTTTCTTACTTGCTATGTCCCGCACATAGAATTAAAATGGCTCATTTAATTCAATCACGTCATAATTTGCTCAGAGCAGAAATCCAACTTTAAAAATCTCCAGAGATGGCTATCCAGTTTCTGATTGATTGTTAGAGTTTAATAGATCACATCTACAGGTAGTCATCATTTAGATCCCCTATTAACTAGCAATAGTAGTAGAAATATAGACTAGTTAATTAAATCCTACCTAGATTCAGATGCCATATCTGGTCTTTCCCATCAATTCCTTTAACCATATTTTTACAAAGCAGTCTATATTGGCTACTCATTTTCTAGTGCTAACTAGACTCTGTATTACACAAACTGACTATCTTCTGTGCAAAAACATACATAGGGGCAAATCTGACATAAAAATAATATCCTTGAGGCTAAGGATCTTTTCATCTTAGTATGTGATTAGATATTTGTGTGTGTGTGTGTGTGTGTGTGTGTGTAGCTGCTAAGCTAGATTGACTATGACCACTTACTTAAAGGTGGGACCTTTAAATAAAAAAACTACATCACTGATAGTGTCAGCGATATAGTATAACATTAAGTCTCATTTGTAATCATTCCAAGATATTATGAATGATACAGTAGTTTACTGTATTCCTGAACAAAGATGCTTAAATATTTTTATTTCTTTCATTTCCAAAACATAGCCACGCCAAAAGTGTCATGTTTGTGTCAAAAGAATACTGTTAGGAATACAGGATGTTCTGTGTTTTGGAACAGTGCATGAACGCATTTCCTAGAAAGCCTGTATTATATTGGCAGCTATTTTCCCTGGACAAAGAATTTGTCATCTTCAGGAAATACAGCACATTTGAAAAAAGTATTCTGCTGACGTTTTGGAATAATGACTAATGATTTGTAAACTAGTACAATATACAATATAAGTACAATGCTTAAAATGATCCTATTTATGTGCTTTGTGTCTATTATAATTCTTTATCTCCATGACAAGTTCTGGGGTTTCTTTTTAAAGACAAGTTTCAGTTAGAGAGAAAAGAAATACTGGAAACTGGGGAGAAAAAAATCGTTTCCCCCCAAATAAATAAATGAACTACAAGCACTGATGGTGTGTGTGTGTGTGTGTGTGTGTGTAAGTGTTTATACATTTACCCTTGGGTCACTTATAATTTCTTGTTTTTATTTTTTCCCCTACTTTTAAATATAAGCCACCCATATTTGGGGAACCTATAAATTGTATCAATAAATAAGAGAAAACAATTGGGCCTTGGCAAAGCGTATGAGTTATTTGTGAGTAGTAATTGTTTTCAGCAAACAAAGCAATAGTATAGTCAATAATGTTCTATGGGGATAATTCTTTGTGTAGCTGCTTACCAAAGACTCCTAAGAAATTCCTTCATGTTAATGGAGTGGCCCATTAATGAACTGTAAGTGCTTGTATACTGGGCCTTGTGTGAAGAAACTCTACCATTCACAAATTATGGTGGAATTAACTAAGAATGTGCAAATTAAGGCAAAACTTCATGTTCTTAGTGGGAGCTTCTAAGGACATAAATAGGTCCAAAAATAAGGACGGCAAGAAGTGATTTAAATCTGAACAAATTACAAGCAACCAGGGCTTTTTTTCAGCCGGAACGCGGCGGAACCGCGTTCCGGCACCTTTTTCCGGGCCGGCCGCACCGGAAATAGCCCCTCCCACACCAGAAATAGCCCCTCCCAAATTTTACTTGCATTCCTGTTCTCTAAAGGGGCGGTCCTAGGGTTTGATGAGGGCGTGGCCAGGTTTGAGTTCCGCCACCTTTTCTCCGAGNAAAAAATGTATTTTTAAATAAGAACTGCATGAGTTACTTGTCCTGGGAGAAAAGCATAAATTATACATCATTTTAGAACAATTTGGACAATTTGCAGAAATGGGTTAAACTGAATTCTCCCCACCTACCCAGTTGCAGTCCTGATCTATATGGGGGCATCTTCTCTAATTTTGCTCGAAGAGTACAAAGCATGTAACGTTTGCCGAATCGTGCTGTCTCTAATCAAAACTGTAAAATACATCATTTTCTCCAATTTTGATTGGTTTAGGTGGTGTGTTTGTAATGTTATGTGAATAACTTAAGAAACTGGCCTTTCCTAACCTTTATCACAGCTGAACGGCAGCAAGTAACTATAAGTAAGTAAGTAAGTAAGTAAGTAAGTAAGTAAGTAAGTAAGTAAGTAAGGAAGGAAGGAAGGAAGGAAGGAAGGAAGGAAGGAAGGCAGGCAGGCAGGCAGGCAGGCAGGCAGGCAGGCAGGCAGGCAGGCAGGCAGGCAGGCAGGCGATACCTCATGCTCTTAATATGCAACCTAAATAATGATGCATCACTTTCCTTTTAAATCTCTTAGTGGAAAACCAAACAGTGACCCGGATTGTGAACATCCTCCTTCAGCCTCAACAGAAAGTGGCTCGGAAGAGATCAGCCCAGAAGCCAAAGCCAAAATAGAAGAGGAAGCTTATAACAAAGGGTGAGAACTTGTGTGCTTTCTGAAGTAGGACTGTGCATTGTGGACCCTTTTTGTTAGCTGCCTGCTGCAAATGTAAATGGATTTCCTTACATTGTACAAAATAAGGTTTTGCAGAAGCATCTCCGTTGTCTTCTTTCTCCTTACTGCAAAGATGCCATTTTCAGAGGGAAGCAGTTGCCATTCAAATGATCACAGTTAAAAATTTAATTTGCACTGCCTTTTTTTCAGTGGAAGTTAAAAGTGCCGTTTTTCTTTTGGAGAACTCTGTGCCCAAACTTTTTAGTTGCTATGGCTATTCATCACTACCTACACATTTTTTCATAAATACAAGGAGAAAATACTAATTACCTTGGTTTGAAACTCAACAATTTTGTGATGTAAAAGCATTTTCTCCATGAATAGAAAAATAGAAGGTACTTTACTTTTCAGTCATTTGTTTATCATCAATATTTGTTGCCATAGCAATTATGCCTCTCAAACGGGTATAATCAGTGGTGGGATTCAAATATGTGAACAACCGGTTCTCTGTGTGGATGCCACTTCCAGAAGTCCATTCTGGGCCTGGACAACAAAAAATTAGCTACCGGTTCTGCCGAAGTGGTGCAAACTGGCTGAATCCCACCACTGGATAATGCATATAATGTCCATGGTAATAGCAATCAAGCTAAGAAAACCAAGTACTGTACAACTAAAGTATGACTAAACATACATGAGTCATTGTGTGAAGTTGAGTCATATTTATTGTGTTAAATAAATTATTTCCAAAATAAGATGGTTACTGGTATTAATAAAATATAAAGGTAAAATATTTAAATATTTAAACCAGTCTAAAACTGATTCTGACTTTGAAGAGTCAATGTGATTTTAGACTGTGGCTGAACTAAAAAATAATGTAACTGGTTTACAGCCTCAGTGATGGGATAAAAAAGGAGCTTATACAGTTGTCACCACTAAATTGCCAATATAATTTATTATGCATCCCATGGAAGATTGAACAAATGAGAGGGCCTAGTAAGCATGGTTTCAAAACCTTTCCTTTCATTTAGCCATTATTGCATGGGAAAAAGTCTGTGCTTTTGCTTCCTTATATGCCCATTTCTCATGATGCATAAATAATTGAGTACATCTCTGTTTCATTTGGTTTATCCTCGGTTGTTATTTGGTATTTACCAAGGCAAACCAAATGATAATTAGATAATTTATTGATTGATTAGTCTTATGAATATATCAAAGAAAATAAAAGTAAAATACAAGGTCTATTTCCAAGGTAAAATGGGGAAAATAAAATACAAAAATAAAATACATTTGTGCTAAGTACAAAAAAAAATCAGTGCTCAGATAAATACATGACCTGTATATAATTCCCAATCTGTTTAATATAATGGGTTATTGGCTGAATTGCCTTGTCTATAAACTTAACATTTCTGTTAACAATGTACAGTATATGTTACGCCTAGGAGGAAAGAGGACAATCTGCAATTCAGGTCTTAGTGGGCTGGTTTGTCAAATAGAAATTTTAAATATGTAAGCCTAAATGGGGCATACAATTGACAATCAAATAAAACATGAGCAATATCTTCAGTGGCTGCAACACTGCATGTACATGTCTTCTCAAGTTGGCAAATGATGGAAGAACTCATATTTGGCCATGTAATCCAACAACTCAGATCTTGTTCTAGAATAGGTCCTTCTGAGGAATTGTGTCAAACTCACTGACAAGTAATTTTTGGTTTGGAAAATGGTTTTGTTGTTAGCCAACCAATTTAATGATGATGATGATGATGATGATGATGATGATGATGATGATGATGATGATGATGATGATGATTTGCCAACAACACCACTATTTGGGCACTGATATCTAAGATTGTCTGTTTCAAAATTTTCTTTGCTGAAATCAGTTGAGAATAAATATTGAGTGCAAAAACCTACCGTATGTTTTAAAATAAATTTGGTAAATTCATTTACATAGGAAGCCACAGTTCAGCTAAACATATTTGGGTAACCTATCAGGGTCCTTTGAATGGATCCTCTGCTAATAGTTTTATTGATGAGTGGCTGTGTATAGAGTGGAGACCTACTTCTGCTCTGACCATGGAGCCTGACGTGTTCTTATGAGTTCCTAATATGCTTCTTAAGAAACAGATCTGAGCTTACTCACAGGAGGGAGCCTTTGTAAAGTCCCACAGTTCTATGCCATAGGCCAATATTGGGACTATTTGTGTCCTAAATATTTTCAACATGGGGGTCACGTTATCTAGGTAATTGTAATTAAGTAATTTATACAATTATTTTGGTGCTTGTCTCTGCCCTCATCAAATTTCTTTTGAAATTATTTGCCCACAATCATGTGTTGGTAAAAATCATTCCTAAATAAGTGAAAGAATTCACTTATTTAATACTCTCTCCATCCAACTGCCAGTTATATTTCAGACTTTTTTTTTTTTGCTAAATACTATCACTTTAGATTTGAGTTTATTGATGTGTATGTATAATTAAGAATGTAGTAAGTATTGCTATCAGCCAGAAGTCAACATAATAAAAGATTAATAAATATTAATAAATTTATCATGGATCTTTGGGATATGAGTGTCTGATACACTGATATACTGGAATCCTGGAAGATCATTGATATAGAGATTAAAAACCATTAGAATACATCCCTGTCTAATACCTTTATAGGCATGTATGCTTTGAGCTAGAGATTCATTTAACTCTGCATGTACTTTCAAGTGGGTTTTTCAGTGGAGGTTCCGTGGAGAGAGTTTTTCTGCAGATCGAAGGCGACGTGGTTTCATGTACTGCCTGCATCCCGTGGATGGGGCTTTGCTTGTTTGCGCGGACCGGTTTCAGACATGCCATGGACCTGGGGGGGAGTTGGGGACCCTTGCTATATATTATTTGGATAATTGAGAAAAAATCAAATTTAGGTAGGTGCAATATATTTTAAAACTTTTCTTCAACCCCAGACCTGAAATCAGATTAGATTTTAGAAAACTCCAACAATATTCTGGCTGCAGACATGATAAAAATGAACTGAAGCCTTACTGCTGGTTTTGTCCTGAATGTGTACAGTTCCTTATTCTGATCCATGAATCCCTACATCAGGAATGAATAAATTTGTTGTTATTGTTCAGTGGCTAAGTCCAACTCTTCGTGACCCCATGGGTCAATTAATAAATATGGCAGGGGAAATGGTTCTCTAGACTTCCATATACCAAGAATTTCAATGTTCTGGAAGTCATCATGGATGCAATTTATGGACTGGCGGTCCTAAAAGAGAAGTGAAACATAATATAATTGAGAAATTGGTTCTGCTCCTCCCTAATCTTCTTTTTTCTTTAAGTAAATACAATTCTGAGTTTGTCAATGGATTTGGTAGCACCAAAGAATAGAGCTGAACTGAATTGTGGTTTCCCAAGCTGTGTTCAAATTCATCTCACTGGTAATATAGTAGCTATTGCTATATAATTTTTATAAAATTAGAGGTCTAAAACAGTGGTTCTCAACCGATGGGTCGCGACCCCATTTGGGGTCGATCGACCATTTCACGGGGGTCGCCAAGCAAGGCTGTCTGCCATTTTTTTCCCCTTTTCCGGCGGGTGCCTTACCTCCCTTGGGCTGGGCCAGCTGGTGGTCGGCCTGCTCCGTCTCTGCCGCTTGCCAGCTACGCCTCGGCCGGCGCAGGGGGCGGAACCACGCATGCGTGGCGCTCCCGGGCAGGGAAAGTCTTCGACTTACGACCGGTTGGGTAGTCCTTGACTTACGACCGGTTTAGTCCTCGACTTACGAACGGTTTAGTCCTCAACTTACGACCGGTTGGGGGTTGCGGCATTAAAAAGGTTGAGAACCACTGGTCTAAAATGTTCATCAAAATGTTTCCTTGACTCTGAACATTTCCAAACTGTCTCCTTTTAGGAATGATCTGAACTGCCCCTCCCCAATCAGTCAACCATTGATTTCAGCTCTAATCTTACCATGAATCTATACTTTTACAGATATCAAGAAGGCCTAAAAAAAAACAAGGAAAGTGAAGAGCTGAAAGAAGACAATGAAGAGAAAATTCATGAAAAACTCAAGGATTTTTTGCCCATGGAAAATGATAAGATTAGCAAGCCACAGAGGTAAGAACATTGTTTATTCATAATGGAGACTATTGTTTTTTCTGATTAAATGGCTATTTCTATGTGGAATGGCCAATGATTGAATAGATCAGGATCACAATCAAAGAAGTTTGTTTTCAATCATCTCTCTTTTAAAATACAAAGTTAAAACAAAACATGCCAACCCTTTTTTCATTTATAAAACAGGAGAATTGGTATAGAAGTTGCAGAATCTTGTACAGAAATAATTCTGTACAGGCTAATTCCTTTGGCAGATCATTCATCCGTTGTTGTTTTTTAATCCCAAGATGCTTAGAAAAAGATTTGGTTGAAGGAGAAATGCATGATTCTGGGTGAAATAATTTTAAAATTCTGAGAAAACTTTCAGTTATATAATTATTGGGAGAAGGGGAGTATGTTTATGAACTTAATCCCTGTGTTGTCATAATTCTTTTATATGATTTTAGATTGACATTCCATTTGTTCAGTATAAATCAGAGAAAAAATGTTATAAAGCCATAGAGAAAAAGGCTATTCCACATTTGAGATGTAATGCCTTTGAACCTGACTTATTTTATTTATGTTATGTAGGTGAAAAACAAGGGGAACAGGTCATTCTGGCTTTTGTAATTTTGCCTTTTCATTACAAATTAATTTAGAATTAAAAGACCTTGAAAATTATATGTGAATGCAATAGTGAGTAAACCAGAATTGTACTTCTAGTTTTCTTATTGTACATTTGAGCCAGTAGAATTGTGAAGAGAAACCAAATTTAATGAAAACATTGGATTATTTTATAGAACATAGGGTGCTTCTCTTCTAGTTTTAACCTTGGGCGTGTCTTGTTTTTCTGAGGTGCTCCAGGAGATGAAGCACAATAATAAAAGCGTAGACTGCCATTCAGGAAAGGCAAAAATCAGAACCAACCAAACATAAGCAAGAACTCATGTTAAGGCTTACATCATGGTGATAACATGCAACAAAGCAAAATTATTAGTCTACACTTATTGCATCAATCAGTAGGCCTACTGAAGGTGACCCACTCTCTGCTGGAGAGGGATAAGTCACAGAACCATCTACAGAACTATTGTGAGGAATATTCTCACTTTCTGGCAGCTGAAGTTGCCCAGATCCACTCAGAGTTGGGGGATGGTTTCCTCAGCCTCAAAAGTTGCTGTCATGTACCCTCTCCTTAAGAGGCCATTGCTGGACCCAACCATCCAGATTAATTTCCATCAAATCTCTAACCTCCCTTTTCTGGGATGGAGGGGATGGTCAGGCTTCAGTTCCAGAGGACCCTGGAAGAAATAGATTATCTACTTTGTTAAGTTTTAGGTCAGGGTTTAGTATGGGGACAATATTGGTCACACTTTTTGATAGCCTGTGGTGGAGTAGGATGAGGGTGGTACATTCATCCTAATGCTTCTTGATCTCTCAGTGGCTTCCACAACAATTAATCTTGGTGTCTTTTTGCACCAGAAGTGGGAGACATCATTTTGTGATGGTTCTTCTTTCTCCGTGTTTGGATTCGGTCAGTGTGAGAGTGCCCTACACTGGCTGCCATAGGGCTTAGCTTCTTGATGGACAGCTTGTCTCCAACTTTTCCATCCAATTGGTGAAGTCAGGCAGATTAGGCAAATTTCAGGTTCAAATTACATCATCTTGTGAGGTACAGGAATTATGCCTTCTTGGTGGCAATGCCTGCTCTCTGGAATAATATCCCCTCAGTGATACTTTTTGCTCCCATTTCAGTGACTTTCTGAAAATTGTTCTCCCAGGCCTTGGGAATCGGATGGTTGTAGATACCTGTAATTTTTGTGATATTGTGTTAGTTGGCTGTTGATTTTTATATGTGTCTTTGTGAGATGGGTAGTTATATAAATTAGCTGAATAAAATAAAATGAATGTTGGATTTGGGTCTCCTGCTTGAGCAGGGGGTTGGATGAGAAGATCCCCAAAGACCTTTTTAACATTCTGTTACTCTGGGTTTTTTTTTTAAATTATAAAGTGACTACAACCATTGAGAACTTTGAAAATGTAATAACAACTTTTGACTGTAGCACTGATGCTGTACTTGCTGTTTATATTGCTTTTTTCCTCTTTCTAATGCCTTTAATATAAAATTTAAAGAGAGACTTGTATATTATATAAATCCTTAGATTTGAGCAAACAAGAGAATCCAAATAGATAAAGAAGAATAACTTCTGCCATAAAGCGGGCCATCCTAGCTGTTATATTCACCACAGGACTCAATAAATCAAATATTAAGTCAGAGTCTTAAAGGAGATGGTAGCATTGTAGGTAGTAGAAACCTATGATTCGGAATGCTTCCAAAAAACTCATTTTATTGTTTTTATTTATTCCTTCCCCCCCATTTTACAGCAAACTTGAAGTTGTTATCCATTATGTACAGATACTGTATCCTAAACTGCATAAACACGGGAATGTGCTCTGGATTGTAGCAGCCATTATTACAGTTTTTGCTGTAGTGCTGGGGACCTCCAGTTTATACAATTACTTCTTCTCCTATACGGAGGGATCAGATGGAGCCCAAGTGAAACCTGCCTGTTCTGCTGCCCATCGGTATTCTTGGGGAAATTCAGGACTGCAACATGACCAGTAACAAAATCACGCCTGGGGGAAAAAAAAACACCATTGAAGAGACACCAGGAATAACCCTTTTCGAAACTTGAGATGAACAATGCAGAGCACTGTCACTCCTGTGATGGTTATATGTAATCAACGAACCACTGCTTCGTTTCTTTTATGTCATCAGTTTTGTGAATGCATTGTGTTTTTTAATTAACCAGCCACCCCAGCCAATAAATCTCGTTTTCTCTGTTACGGTAATTGTTATTTGATTGATATGTCTGAATATTAGAAGAATTGTATGGGAAAGACGATTGTATAGCAGTCGATCAAAAACTGGGATAGAGAAGTTCATCAGTGGAATGTAAAGTCCAGTCCTACAAAATGTCACAACAGACTTCCTGTTACATAACTGCTAACATTAATTCTTCCTATAAATTTCAGTTTGGCTGCTGTTTACGAACATCTTAGAGGTCTGCATTTGATTTCACAATCATAGGGATGAGCTAATGGTAAAACTGCAAAACACCGAAATGTTTTGTTATAAGCAGATTCTATACTTATGAGACAAGTTTCTTGCTACCCTCACCACAAAAATAGGTGAAATGCAGGGTAGGGGCATTTTTTTTTGTTAATTACCTTTTTTTAAGGTGAAACTTTACAAGAACTACATCCATAAAGTTCTACCATGTTCCAGTAAGATATAATAGTATTATAGTAATAGTTAGGTTCACAGATCATACTAAACCGTGTTTATTTTATTGTATTTTATTGAATAAACCAGTGGTTCACAACCTGTTCTTCAACACGGACCCCCCTTAAATACCTTTTATGGCCTCAGACCATGGCCACGGATCTCCAAGACTTAACTCAAGATTTAAATCATAACATTTCTTCAAGCCTTCTCAGATCCCCTGTGATGACATCATGGCTCTCCAGGGGTCCGCAGACCACAGGTTGAGAACCACTGGAATAAACCATAGTCAGTTGGATTTGCACAGCTCTGCCCAAAAATATGCTAAGATGAAAACAAACCAAATTTTGCTTAGTGTGTAAATTCAGTCAATGTGTTGTATGTATTACAGTTTGCAGAACCATTGCCTCATAAGTACAGAATTGTATTTCACATGAAGTGTGAGGGTGGGCAAGGCAAGGATGTGTGGGTTTTAAATGACAAATGGGGGCATTCTTATGAAGTACTAATAAAATAAATAAATAAAATAAATAAATTGAATAAAATACTTAAGGTTCCCCCCCCTTATTTTTGCTTCTTTAGAACAATAGCAGCTAATATGTTAAATCCAAAGTAAAGGTAGTTTAACAGATAGTGTTTTTAGGAAGAACGCGAACATTTGCCTAATCTGTGTTCACTTTATTCTGGTGAGCTAGAAGGTCTTTTTCCCACAAAAAATAAGCCATGATTTGATTTGACTTTGGCTTAGTATTATCAATTAACCCTCTTATGGGTTATCTTTATATACACATCAGGCTGAGGTTTGTTTGTCATTTTTTAAAAAGTCATGTGTGAAAATGCTGTTAACACCTCACAGCAACACTTTTTCATATTCTGTAGTGCAGGGGTCCCCAACCCCTGGTCTGTGGACCAGCACCGGTCCCTGGTGCCCAAAAGATTGGGGATCTCTGCTGTAGTGAACATTAACATATACAATTAAATCTAAATGTCTGGAACAAAAGACAGCTTCTTAGTAGGTTGGCAGGAGATGCTCCTTGGAATCAAAAGAGAGGATTTTTGTTCCTGCAAGTATAAATAGATTTCCTGACACAATTCAAAGTTAGGAACAATCAAACTGCAAGCATAAGCTCGCATAAATAAGTCAACTGAGTAGCAGGACTTGCTTCCAAACAGAAATGCTTAAGATCAGAATGAAAGAATGGCTGCAGTTCAAGCATTCCTGTCTGGTTCATTTCAGCCACTGGAACAGCCCCTGCGAATATTTTTTTACTAATTTGTAAAATCATTTCTTGGCAAAAGCATGATGCATGCTGAGATCACACTGCCTGAACCCTTCCCCAAAATTTACTTGCATTATTTGGTGTTTAAAGGGGGCTATTTGACAAAAATATTCAGGATATGAAAGTTTCCCTGAAGTGTGTATGTGGGTGACCAGGTTCTGTCTTACCTCAGCCTGAGTGACTTGTGGTCCAAGGCTAGTAAGCAGCTTGCGGTTCCCAGAATGCCCTAGAACAGGGGTAGGCAACCTTGGCTCTTTTATGACTGGTGGACTTCAACTCCCAGAATTCCTGAGCCAGCATGGCTCAGCTTGGAAACCTCTCTCTTTCCCCTCAGCGTGGCTGGCTCAGGAATTCTGGGAGTTGAAGTCCACCAGTCATAAAAGAGCCAAGGTTGCCTACTCCTGCCCTAGAAGGTGCCACCAATGCAGAATGAAAAAACAGACAAGTTCTAACAGCATTTGAGGGGAGGCTTTGTTTTGTCCCTATAGCTGCTAAATGAGTATGACAAACCTCTTTAAGGCTTAAAAGTACTTATTTAGATCTTCACGTTTCCCAAATTTCAAAAAAAACAAACGATTGAGCATAAAATGTTTGGTCCTGTCATAATGTTGTCAGAGTATTCCTGCAGCATTCAGGCTGAAGTACATCATAAAGTAAAGCATGGTAAAAACAAAATCTGCCACTCTGTTCTTCACCTTGAGAAGTACAAAAAGGCAGAGCCCAGGGTGAAATTTTGCTCTAGATTACTGGTAAGATGTCTTTCAATATAATAAGCAGGAAATAGGTATGAAATTGTTTGAAGTAGAAGCTTCTCCCAAACATAATTTGCACGTTTTATGTTAAGTAGTTTTGAATACCTAGAGGTCAATAAATGAAATGCTACCACTGATGTTCAACACAACTTGGTGTATAATTTTAGCATGGATCAATCTCTAAATGGCCATAGGTAAATAAAATAATGGTATTAAGCATGTTCAGTAAGGCTGGTGAGAATGTGTATTATTTGCTGTCAACCTGGAAGAGTGAGTGAAAGAGGCTAAGGAATCAAGCCAACTGCTGTCCTTTGAATTAAGTAACTTCATTAATAAGACATACCTACAATACAGTTTTCATTCTAGTGTAAGAAAAAAGGTGGTGAAATGCTTTACACACAAAAGGTTAAGCATGTTTACTCAGATTAAGAATTAACGGACAAATAAAAAACTCAATGTTAAAACAACTGATTCATCCTTGGAAGTAGACTATTATATGAAAGGTGAATGACTGTCTTTACAAAGCAAAGTACTGAGATAAACAGTTTTTTCTTCAGCTGTCTCCAGACCATTACTTTTTCGTTAATAGGATTTGAAGCCGCCTATAATTATAACACTTAAAGTTAGTTCATTGGGGGTTATTGGCAGGTTGAGAAACAAATTAATAACTCTCTTTTGTGAAAAATAATTTTTAAAAACCAGGGCCTTTGTTTCATTACAACATCAGAACATAGACATTTTTATATTTTCAAATGTATAGGATTTATACACTTAATTGACTAGATCATCTTACTCCATTTGCACCAAATAAGTGCTATTAAAGGGTCTGGTTGGTTGGTTTTTTGTTTTTTTTCCTGAAGTGCAATATTTATTTATTTGGCTTTAACAAGACACATTTGTTTCTTGTGCACAGCACTGGTATTTAAAGTAGGAGGAATTCAAGAATCACTAATTTTTGTTTAAATCTTGTAAGATTTTGCACAGGTGTGCTAGTATTGTACTGTATAGCATCACATACTTGAGTTTTGAAAATAAAAACATTGTTTCAGAATCTTTTGTATTACTCATGTGATTTATACATTTTGTGTTTGTGCATATAACAGCAATTCCTCTAGAGAACACATTTTAGTATGAACATACTAAGATTTTTATTCTGCCAGATGTTGCTTTATAGCAACTGTTCTGTCTTCATAGATAGGAGTCTTGCCCGTAAACCAATAAGGAAGCAAAAAATGATGATTATTCATTTTCAGACTTCCTTTGTATAAAGGCATTTTGTATAATTTCTAGACAGGCCTGCCTGAGAACATTTTGTTGTCTAAGGCAAAGCAAGTGGTGCCTCCGCCCACAGGATGCACAGTACCTAAGGCAATTTTGGAACAGAGGTCAGAAAACTGAGCAAACACCACTTGTGATCCCTACTATATTCAAAATTACTTTCACTTAACTTATTTGGCTACATGAAAGATGGAAAATCTGTGCTTAAATGTTGCTCAATTACAACTCCCAGTAGCCTCAACTACAATGGTGAGAGAAGTTGGGATTTGTGGTTAAACAACACCTGGAAGCATCATTTCCCTAGTCTTAAGCTACATGGTGTCAAATCAAAGTTTATAGGACTCCCAAATTTTACAATGTGGTTAAGTGGTGTAGTGTGGAGAATAGATTGTCTGGCCACAGACACATAAAATGGATTTCTTAATGCATCCATCTACCCAAAAAATAACAAAAATGTTAATGAACTAAAATATATCTAAAATATAAAATTCTATTGATAACAAATAGGACATTAAAACAGATGGGACTCGGGGAAATTAAAAGCTCACCCTAAATAAAGAAGATTTTGGGCTTCACAAGAAATTGATGACCTCTTCTTTGATGACTTCTTAAGTCTGGGAGGAGCCACCAAGAAAGATCTGTCTTATGTCCTATAAGTACAACCGGCCAAGTATGTATATTTAATCTGGATGTTTTTAGAGTTTTTATTGTTTTAAAATGTTTTTAGTATTTTTAATTCAATTGTAAGTCATTGACAGAGATGGGTGGCTATAGAAATTGATAAATTGATTGATTGATTGATTGAATGAACGAATGAACGAATGAATGAATAAATATCCTCATTGCAGTTTTCTAAGCATATATTTTCCCTTTTCTGCATTTGCACAATTGACAAGCCTATTTTTTTGTTAAATCTGAAGACCAACTTCTATGGTGGGAAAGAGCAAGAAATGTAGCATGCATATCTGGTGCTCACTAGGACAGGAGATGTTGGTTTAGAGTATCCTGACATTTCCCCACCCATACTGCTGCCAGTAATCTTCCTCACTGACTTTGTAGGGTCTGGCTGTTGGAAACTGTAGCAAGTATCATCTACAGTACACAACTATAATTTTCCCACCTGTTTTAAAGTTTCTTATTTATGTTTTCCATCTCAGTAGACAGCGCACCTAGTTGACCTTGGCTGATCAAGGAAAAGGTAAGTAGGGGTCTTCTTGGTTAATAGTAAGTTGGAAGACTAGCTGTATGCCAAGCTAGAAAATCAAAAGGACATCCAGCATCAGGCAATGGAAAACCACTTCCATATTCTTGCCAAGAGAACAGCATGCACATCTTCATGTAGGCCTCAGGCCAGTGGTTCTTAAAACGGGGGGTAGTTACCTCTAAGACTAAGAGGTTAATTTAGGCTTATCCTGGGGGTAAAGGGAACCATTTTATTTGCTTGTTTGTAAATCAAAGATTGAGTTTCGGATTGATGCTACTGAAATGCTTGTGTGAAACAACAGTCTGGTTTGATGGTGTTGGTGGCACATTTACTGACATTCAAAACTAAAAAAGAGGTTAATTGGATCAAACAGTTTAAGAACCACTGTTCTAGTAGCTGGATAATGTGGATATTAGGCAAGCCTTCCTTGGAGATAGCATTCCACACTTGGAAAGACCTTTTCTGGAGTAGGAATCCTCTTGCCTCATTTTGCTGGGGCATCTTAAGGTCCAAGAATATGGGAATAGATATTCCTTGAAGTCATTAAATTCATTCCAGCTTTAATCCAACATCCATTCTGAAAATAGTTTAGACATCCTGATTCAATGCATAGATAGATTCTTCCATCACAAGTAGCCAACCCATGTTATATCTTTTTTCTTGTAAACGGCTGCATGAGTTGGATGAAGGATGAGCAAACAGCAAGTGACTAAACAGGAACTATTACAGGATGACCACCTGAGGTACACTGGGAAATCTTCCCACTGTTTATAAGAACAAGACTATTACACTATGTTATCTCTCTTCCTCAGATGTATGTTTTCTGAGTCAGCACTCATTGTATTTTCCAGACTGCCTATGACAGGTTGGGAAGGGGAGGGAGCTGTCATGTGTTTCCAGATAGTGACCTTAGTCAGTGAATGGCTTTTGAGCAGAGCAATAAGTTCAGCTTTGCTTGTAAAATAGTCAGTGGCTGTTTAGCATCCTTGACACCAAAGTGGTAAAAGAGGAAGTAAAGAAGAAGAAGCTGTTTAGCAACTCATGAGAAAAGAACATATTGGACGTGTCCAAGGGGTGATATAGCATCACACTGCATTCCCAACATCGGAAAAAAAGCAACAATCTGAATCTCTCAACCCTTTGGTGTTACCAACAATGGCATTCCATGGTAGAACTGTCTCTTTTTTCTTCTCAATCTGTGTGGCAAACTTCATGACACAAGGTGTAATTCTTCTGAAAAGTAAGTTTAAATAAACTGCTAGTTTTTCCAGCATATTCTGTCTTGCACCAAGGAAGGGTATCTTTTGAACAAAAATTGCAATATTGTAAGGTAGGGAAGGGAGCATAGTTATTTCCAGGAGCAACAGTGTTGGTCTTTTTAAAATTTATTTTAGAGCAAGAAACATTAAAAAAAAGTTTATGGCACCTTAAAGTCTAAGAAAAATTTAATGGCCAAGGTTCTAGCATAGTTGTAGCAAATGATCGATCCTCAATTTGTTCAGATTACAAAGAACACTAGCCAGTTTTGTTTTTCAAATTGGCAAATCAATTAGGAAGGAGATGCTGTGCCAACTAGCAAAGTTAGTTGCAATGTGCAGAATGAGTTTTATTTATTGAATTTATTTTTGCTCATTCAAATATACTTTACTGGTTGGTTCAGTGTCTCCTTTCTAACAAAAACATGTCAGTTTAAGATAAGGATGGAATTTTCATGGGCTAGAGCTAATTTTGTCATGTGGTTGAAGGACTGCGGTAAATGAGGAGGCATGGATGGGATAGGAGGCATGGATAAGGTGTCAAATGAAAACAGAAACAACTTTCTGTTCTGAGCAGTTCCCAAATGAAACATAATTACATTTGATATTACAAAAACAAGTATCTTGGATATTCAGAATGTGTGTTCTGCTAGGTAATATGCTGTAGTTTCATCTTATAGTGAGATGAGAAAATATACAGTATACACAGAACATTAAGGGTGAGAACAGTAAGGACCTTTTTTTGCTTTTGTATAAAAACTATTAGCAACTTACTTTTAAAAAGGATGTTTCTTATACTAAAAGTCTGCTTCTTCCTATATTCAAAATTTGTCTCAATCATCAAATCTTTTGATCTATTCTTATGGGATATATTTAGTGATAGTATTTTGAGGGATGGTTTTAGTTTTCGGGTATCACCACTGTTGTGGATGTCTTTGTGTTAAAATATGCAAGTATTAGAAAGTCTAAATTCATTATTGTTTTCATGCTGTCAACAAATTCAATTAAGTCATAAAAACTTCACTGGAAAAATTATATTTTTATTATAATAGGCGGTCAGCAGTGGAGATGCCATTGTTGACGGATCATATTGGAAAGACATTATGAGAAAGTGACAACAGACTTACTGTAGAAATTACTGAGTATTACTGGAGGAAAAAAAGGATTCATTTGGAAAGGATAGAAGGAAATTAAGAGTAGTGCTAAGCCTACTGAAGTTAGAATGCATAGACTAGACCAGGGGTAGGCAACCTTGGCTCTTTTATGATTCGTGGACTTCAACTCCCAGAATTCCTGAGCCAGCATGGCTCAGCTTGGAAACCTCTCCCTTTTCCCTCAGCATGGCTGACTCAGGAATTCTGGGAGTTGAAGTCCATGAGTCATAAAAGAGCCAAGGTTGCCCACCCCTGAACTAGACTAAGTTGTACGACAAAACTAGTCAAGGGCTTTCTTCCCTGAAGGTTGCATTTCTTTAAGGATGATTTGTTGGGGGAAATGTGTATCTGTCTGTCTTTCTGGCACCCTCTTCCCTATGTCTAGTTTAATGAAGAGAAGGAGGAGGGGTGACATGATAGCAGTGTTCCAATATCTCAGGGGTTGCCACAAAGAAGAGGGAGTCAAGCTATTCTCCAAAACACCTGAAGGCAGGACAAGAAGCAATGGATGGAAACTATCAAAGAGAGAAGCAACCTAGAACTAAGGAGAAATTTCCTGACAGTTAATCAGTGGAACAACCTGCCTCCAGAAGTTGTGAATGTTCCAACACTGGAAGTTTTTAAGAAGAGACTGGACAGCCATTTGTCTGAAATGGTATAGGGTTTCCTGCCTAAGCAGGGGGTTGGACTAGATGACTCCAAGGTCCCTTCCATATTATTATTATTATTATTATTATTATTATTATTATTATTATTATTATTATTATTATTATTATTATTATTATTATTATTATTATTATTATTAACTATCCTTGTTTCTCATGCATCAGACTGTCTGGGCCTTTAATTACCCACTCCAAATCTTTTTTTAAAAAAATGTTATTGACATTTTTAGTAAAGACTAAAATAAAATCAACTAGAAGGAAAAAGAAAAGTTAAAGACAAGTTCAGAAGGTGTAGGGAAAACAAAAAAGGAAAAAAAGAAACAAAGCAATAATAAAGATGTGGCTTCCAACCTTTATCATACAGTACCAAGCATAAGCTAATATAGTAACTTTTTACCCTCTTTTAAAAGTACAAATAAAAAAAAACCCTCTTCCCATAGCTTAACTGTTATTTATATGTAATCCATAAATTCTTATCTTTTCAGTCCTGGTTCAGCAAAAAGTCCATTAGGAGTTAGAAATTACAGGTTCCCAAGATATCAAACACTTTATCCCTGATCAAATAGTCCCACTTTATATTCCTTCTTTTTGTTCTTAAATGGTCTTCCAATGTTGTTGCAGGATTTGATCTTTCATCAATCTTTGGTAGTCAAAGGGGGTCTTCAAAAATTTTATCAGCTTACTTTGTAAATCCCAAAAAGGGGCATTGTCCAGGATTTTTCGAGGCTGGATACATGGTTTGGCCCACACCAAATTGTTTTTGCTTAACCCCACTTCCCAAATCCCATAGTGTTTGGCAGTTTTGGTAGAGAGAGAGAGATGCCACACCAAGGTCTCTAGGAAATTAATCTGATGTTTGAAAGCAGCTCTTCCTTGTCCTTGTCTGACATTCAAATCCATCTCCCCCAACTGGATACCAACTGAATGTATTGGACCACAATCTCTCCACCAGTTGAATTTATAATGCTATTCTAAGCATTATACCAATTGGATCCTATAAGTAAAAACCTATAGCTAAAATATCTTGGATGTATGCAGCACCACCATCTGTAATAGCGGGATCTCTATCACTCCCTTGAATATTAGTGAATCAGTACTGAGTAAAGGTACATATTTTGAAATGCAAATAAACATGTAAATGTTAAATATCCATAAGTAATCACTTTGATATATTTCTGCTTATTTGCAGATATTTACATGACCAACTGCAGAATTGCAGGTGTAGCGCTTGTTGCAGATAAGAATAGAACCAATTTTAATTTTGCTGAAGCAGAAATAGTTTGCAGGCAGCTGGGATTAACACTAGCACAAAAATCCAAGATTGAAGCTGCTTGGAAGCATGGCTTTGAAACTTGCAGGTACAGAAAATCTTTCCAACCTTTACTTTTAAATGTTTTATGCTAACGTGCATACGGATTACCTTTTTTCATGCCATTTTTTAAAAATAAAGTTATTATTATTACTCAGAAATAAATTAAGATTGGAAGCATGCAAACAATTAAAAATTAAATAGCCCCTCTTATTCTTATAGCAGAAGAAGTTGGTTATTTATTCCCAAAATAAATTTATTCCCTTTGTTCTCCACAGATTCATATGCATAGACTGAAAACCATCATGTATATTATTTGTGTATAAATATGAAGGAGTGTGGCTTCAGATAAGCACTTGAGGTGCACTTAAATGTATATTTAATAATGTGCAACTTTTGCCACCTTGAAATTTGAAACAGAAATTGTTTGTGAATATCACAAACTTCTCGAAATTCTCCTCCGTTTTCCAAAGGATGAATCATCCTGTGTCACTGAGGGTTGCTTTTCACTGCACCTAACCTGAACATTTTAAAATCTTTTTTACTTTTTGCACAAATGATTCAGGCTGTGGATTACACATGGCACTTGAGAAAAGTGACCTGTGTAAACTCCCCCAAATGAAAATGAATTAAGTCAAGACAAAAACAAATATCTATTGACTTTATTTTAATTAAAATTAAAATTAATAGCACTAATTATGATTTACCATGTATTTCATAGCTTTCCCCTTTTGAAACATTAAAACTTATAACTTTTGGAGAGACTCTGAAAACCACAGCCAAAGGTTTATGGGACGAGACCACTGACTGGGGACTTCAAACTTTAACCCTGAAAATAATCATTTCCCTCTGAGTAAAAAATAGTAGGCTGAGAAAGTAACCTCAAATATGATATTATTAGCTTCAGAACTGAACAAGGAAAGTGGAATCATAAAACCAAAGAATAATATTGGGGAAGAATGCTGGCTGGGAAATTCTGGGAATTGAAGTCCACACATATTCAAGTTGCCAAGGCCGAGAAACACTATAGTACTGTATATATAAACTTTGAATAGTGACACTTCATTGTTGCTAAGGTCATATATCTAATAGAAAAAAATGCTTTTCACTCTAGTTTTGGCTGGGTAGCAGAAGGCTATGCTGTAATTTCTCGTGTAACTCCAAATGAAAAATGTGGTCAGAATAAAACTGGGATTTCCAGCTGGAGAATGAAACTAGACAGGAAGGCTCGTGTTTATTGTTATAATTCTTCAGGTAAGTGGGATGAGATATGGATTGTAATAATATTTTTCACCAGAATCCCTCGTGAAAGAATTAAGGTAATAATATTTGTGAAGATTTCCATACTGCTAGAAGATTGTGGCCAACTTCTAGGATTCCAATATAAACCAATTCACTACACAACAGCTTCCTGGGGAGCCTGAGAAACTCAGAAATTGCAAGTTAAACTATTAACAAGTCAGCTAAGCCACAGTTGACAAGTTTACCTGTTTTTCCCTCAGTCAAAGTTTGTAGCATGGAAGAGCATTATGAAATTTAAATTGCTTTAGGTGTGCCCAAAATATACTGTTTTCTAATTCAAAAAGTTATATTGTATTAAGGTTAGGGATGGGTCATCATTAATATTTGCAAGAAATTCTTCTGTTTATGTTTATGTTTATTTAGATTTGTATATCGCCCTATCTCCCTTACGGGACTCAGGGCGGTGAACAGGCGATAATAAAAATCACAATAAATATCTATTCTAAAATCAAATTAAATAAATAAAGGCCTGCTCTAAAATACCCCATATAAAAACCTATACTAAAACCTAATTAAGACTACGCCAGGCCGGCCGCACGAAATAGATGGGTTTTCAGGACTTCTCTTCCTAGGACAGTTCCTTCACCTGCTTTGCTCCCAACTTAGAGAATGCACTTTTGGGGGATTTGCCCTTGGCCACACTCTCTCAGAGATACAAAATCTATAAAGACACATAGCATCTCTATCATAGTGCTTGCTAATCATTAGCTTCACTCAGTGCTTTTTTTGTAAAAAAAAAAAAGGTGCTGGAGTTCACATCTTGTTAATCTTTTAATATATATATTTATTGTATTTAAGGCAAATGTTCATAGTAAATTTTACACTAAAAATGTATTTTTTAAAATAAAGAAATTATTTACCTTTCGCACATAGTTAATCACTGTACACACACCCACACACGTCAGTTGTGTAACGAAACATAATGGTCGCCGCCCACAGTAAGCACTCAGTGCGCGACCACACGACCAATCACAAGCTGAGCAGTGCCACAAGCCGAGCAGCAGCATTACAACCAGCATGGATGAAGTACGCATGCATCGGACTCGACACACAAGCAGCCCAGATGCACCGTTTCAATGATTTTTCCGCCGACCTGCTATGCTCGACAGGGCGATTCAAATCCATGTGGACCAAACATCAAATTTTCAAAAGTTACTTTTAAAACTTGGAAAATCAGTCAAAAAAAGGTGCCGGAACTCCCTTCTGGTGTGGTCTATGACAAAAAAGCACTGGTTTCACTACAGTAGTAGTCTTAATTTAATATTTTTTTTCAAATATTTGTCACTTTTAGTAGAAGGGTGGCTTTTAAATCAGAGAAATAAATAAATCTCATGAAAGAACATTAAAAATAAAGAAAACCGCACAACATTTTTCCCTCTAAAATAATCAAATGGACCAGAATAAAGAATATTGTAATCTGATTTATACTTGCAAGGAACCTGGAGTTCCTATGTTGTCATCTGGAATTCTCCCCATACTTATCTCAATGGCATAATTGATGGAGAAGTACATCTTTTAATCAGAAATGATTATGGGGCCTTCAGTACCTCTCTAGAATTAGAATTTGATCACTTGGACAATCTAGGGTGGTAATGTACTTTCTGAGATCTCAGGAAGTGTTTAAAAAAAAACTCTGACTCCAACTAAAGAGAAAAAACATAAAGAGTTTTACTGGATGACACTTGCTTGAAACATGGAAGATATGCCACTAGAAAATTGCAAGATAGGCCATAATTTAATTCATAGGACATATGCCCAGCCTTACTGAACACAGTTCTCCTAAGAACTCTTATAGGGAAATATGTGTAGAAAATGATTCAATATTAGGATACTGAATGTTTTGGTCTATCCAGTGCTTTTTTTCTAAAAAAAAAAAAAAGGTGCCAGAACTCATACATGTCATACAACCCGCCTTGCCTACCCTACAAGGTTCCATCCAAAAAAGGTGCCGGAACTCCGTTCTGGGCGTTCTATGAGAAAAAAAGCCCTGGGTCTATCTATTTCAAAAGGGCAACCTAGACATGATCCTAATACTAATTTTTAAACTACAAGCTCTTTTTTAAAGACACATAATTCTTTTAAAGGAGTCTGCTTTAATAACAAGCAAATAAACAGCTATATTTTTTTGCCATGGCTGATCATGGTAACAGGCATGTTTATAATATAATGCAGAACCCAATGATCCTTTTGGCTTTTCAACAGAGACTCATAGCAATATCACAATACAGCTTTCATTTACATCCTATTCAGTTCATTAAAATGTGTCATCACATTTCCTGTCAGGGTCTAACATCAAGAACAGTGCAAGGATCATTTCCTTCCGTCACTACAAATATTAAGATAGCATAGTCATTGGGGTATTATAATAGTTTTCAAGCAATATAAAAAATTGAAATTTGATCTTTAAATTATTTAATCTATCTAATTCTTTTTTTGGTCTCACTAGTTGATCAATAATCACTAGTCTCTAATTATTTAATCTCAGTAGTCCTTTATACATAATATATTGGGATACACCTTACCACAAGATCATTTAAATCGAGATTTTTCTACCAATGCTATTGGTGACTTTTAGAATCACTGTTTTTTCTGGTCAGAGGATCAAACTAAATGCACTGTTAATTGTTCTGATGCAATTAATGTGCATGATTCTATTCTCCTGTACATATATTTGTCATCAAGAACACACGGTAGAAACTGGGAAATATTATACTTTCTTCTCTTATTTCTATAGAAAATCACTCTGGTCTCCAACTTCACTTTCCTACTATTTATTTATTTAATTTAAATAATACTAGTCTGGTTAATTGCATATTTTAAGAAAGGAAACAAGGTATCAAGATAAACATGCCACACAAAGCCATTTAGCTTTCTATGGTCTTGAGAAAGCACACTTAGTTTTTATTTACCCTTTTGAGGAAGGAAGCAGAGTCACTAGTTTATTGTGTTATTTTTAACCAATAACCAGAGAGTAAAAAATAATCAGTACAGTGGCTACACCATGTGATTAAAATCCTCTTTCTTTTATTGTGCACTGGTGAGATGGGGGCTTTGAACATATAATTGCGGCCATCATCTTTATTTTCTTGGACTTGCTGCTGCCTCTACTTTTTCTGATAGCCCCCTCAGTTTTTCTAATCTTGTCAACACCAACCTACTGAATTTTGTATTGGAAAAGCAACAAAGTGAAATGGTGATGAGAGAGAGAGAGAGAGAGAGAGAGAGAGAGAGAGAGAGAGAGAGAGAGAGATTATATACAGAGAGATTTAGAACACAATCTTATGGTGTCCAGGACGTTATCCATGGCACCATAGCATTCTTCCCTCAGTGACTCAATTACAGTCTGACATTTGATTGTCTTTCCAATATCGAAAATGCCCAACAATAAAAATTGCAAATTTAAATGAATAACAGAATAACAGAGTTGGAAGGGACCTTGAAGTCTTCTAGTCCAACCCCCTGCTCAAGCAGCAAACCCTCTACCATTTCAGACAAATGCTTGCCCAGTCTCTTCTTAAAAACCTCCAGTGTTGGAGCACCCACAATTTCTGGAGGCAAGTGATTCCACTGATTAATTATTTTAACTGTCAGGAAATTTCTCCTTAGTTTTAGTTTGCTTCTTTCCTTCATTAGGTTGCATTCATTTCTTCTTGTCCTGTCTTCAGGTGCTTTGGAGAATAGAGTGACAACCCTATGGCAACCCCTTAGATATTGGAACACGGCTATCATGTCACCTCTAATCCTTCTTTTCATTAAACTAGACATACTCAATTCTAGCATCTGTTCTTTATATGTTTTAGCGTCCAGTCCCCTAATCATCTTTGTTGTTCTTCTCTGCACCCTTTCTAGAGTCTCAATATTTTTTTATTATTATGGAGACCAAAACTGGATGCAATATTCTTACCAAGGCATTATAAAGTGGTATTTAAAACTTCACATGATCTTGATTCTATATTAATGCAGCCTAGCACTTTGTTGGCAGCACACTGCTGGCTCATATTCCACTAGGACTCCAAGAATCCTCTCGTAGTTACTACTATTGAGCCTATTCTATACCCATGCATTTGATTTTTCTTGCCTAAGTGTAAACCTTATTTTTCTCGCCACTAAATGTCATTTTGTTAGACAGGCCCACTGAATTCAAACATCTGCATATCTATCATACCCAGATGCAGAAACTAAATGAGATTACTTTATACAAATCTAAATGAATCCTCTCCCGCTTAGAAACTATCAGTGGAACAGGGAGGAAGAATTATGACAGCAGCTTCTTCCAGAACTTCATCTTACTGGGATAAACCTAGCAAAGAGTTAGGTCTGACAGATACTTCAACATCAGATCTCTCTGAGTAATCTAATAGGACTGCTCTATTACTCTACAGTACTTCCTTTTAGCTATGTAGAATAACGCTTAGTAAGATGTCCCCTGCATTCTGTTTTTTATAAAAAAAAATTGCATACAATAGCATCAACAAATCTCATTGCTTTGTTTTCTCGTCCTCTTTTCAGATACGTGGATTAATTCATGCATCCCGGAACAAAGCACAGTTGCATTACCAGACAGTTCCACTGAGATGAACTCCACCCTAACAGCCTCATTTCAGGATACCTCTACAGGGGTTGACACAACTCCGTTACTAAAAACTCCAAAGTCCCCAAAGTATCGCATCATATGTGTAACAGAAACTTTACCACCCGAACCCACTCCCGAGAAGGAAAATCGGCTTTTCACTGAAAAGCGAACTGCCTTTAAAAATGAGGGTGTCCCATTTGGAGGTAATAGCCATACTCAGTGCTGTGAATTTCATGGTTTTATGTTAGAGCAGGGGTCCCCAACCCCCATCTGTGGACCAGTACCGGGCCACAGCATGCCATCAACCGATCCGCACAAACAAGCAAAGCCCCATCCGTGGGATGCAGGCAACATACAAAACCACACACCCTGCAGTCTGTGGAAAAACCTCTCTCCACATAACCGGTCCCTGGTGCCCAAAAGGTTGGGGATCTCTGTGTTAAACAGAAGACAAAGGAAAACCTCAGGTTTAAATTTTTTGCTGGCTTAGAAAGGAACTTAAAAGATGTCCTTTTGAGGTGGCAAGATGAATCAAACCACTATAACCAGAAATGTAGTCTTTTCCTTTTGACATGTTTCAAGCCACCAATTCTACAATCCAAATAAGGCAATTGAGAGCTGCTCTAACGTAGTGGCTGAAGAGTTGCTCATCCAAATCTTAAATCTGGATATATTAGGTTGCTGTTTTCCCTCAGCTTCAGCATTTCTCTTCCATACTTTCCAGCTACCTGACTTACAAGATATATATTTGGCAAGAATTATTAGTAGACAATGTACATGAAGAGCTTTAAATATACCAAAGCAGTACAAGAAAGTATTATTAGTTGGCTTTTTTCATCCTCTCAACTAGAAAACTCTTTGTAATTCAGTTAGGGCCTACATAAAAAAGATCTGAAATCTAAGAGAAAATTTTTGTTTTCCCCAAGATTTGGGCCATGTTATTATTGTCACTTCTGTCACTCCAACTACTTACTATTAATATTAAACTAGCAGTTGTTATATGTTAAGTGACTCCTTAGTCAGTCTCCTGTACCAGTTTCATTTCTAAGAATGCTCTGACGACATTCAGAAAATGGAAATGAGTGACTAACACTCAGTGACTTTGTATACCTGAAAAACCTCAAAATTATCTTGGAAAGTGTAAGAAAGTTCTCTGGCATAATAGAGGACATGGGGTTTCTGCGGCCCTGTTGCACATTTTTCATGGTAGTTTGGTTAAAAAATTGAGGATTAGCTGAGCTGTTGATGGGTTTGTTTGCAAGTATATATGGGTACTTTTGAAAAGTATTACTGATGGGTAGCCATCTATTGCTTAGATATGAATGTACCAAGTGGTTAAATGTCTATGGAGATTTTCAGTCATCCAGGTCATAGTTATCCCAAAGATGCTTTTTCATGAGGCAACTGGACTTTCTTGTTTCATCCAATCAGTTCTGGAGAATGGTGTTAATTCTTCTGCCATTGGAGTCTCATCTATGAACACTGGAGAAAAAAACCCACTTCGAGTTTTCTTTCAGAAAACATTGGTTAAAACGGCCACCAGAGATTAAAAAAAGATTGTTTAGTCTCCAAGATTTCAAAGTTACTTCTTTCTTCTTTCCAGCTGTACCTATCGTGCTTCTGGTGCTTGCCCTCTTCTTCTGTACAGCAGCAATGGTTTTAGCTGTCTGCTATATCAAAAAGTAAGTATACTTGTTGCTTTGCTATGCTTGCATTTCTACCAGCAACATATATTTGGATGCTAAATGCTATCTTTTCATATGTAACATGACTTGGGCATTCTTCTCATTGTATATGGAATGTTTTAAAGTCACCAACTAGACAAGTTTTAATCATTAAATATATTTATTCATGTTTTCTTGATGCAGCATAAATATAAGTAAGGCATACTATATAAGAATGTATAACGTATGTTCTGATAGAAAAATCTGCAACAGTGCAGTGGTAGTGAGTAAATATTTCTTCTACCATCTCTTAATAAAAAAATCAGAGTGGTTATGGTAAAACCTTGTTTCTATCATAGCATATGAAAAGGCTTTCATATATAAAATCTATACATAAAATATATATAATATATAATACAATAATGGCTTTCATTTCTAGAATTTTTGTATGTTATATGCATGGCCATTAATTGTTAATCAACTTTGTTTTTCAATTTGATGAAAGATACAAGAAAACATCTCTATTTTCAAGCAAAGGGAAGAAAGATGAAATAGAAACCAAGAACATCAAAGAACTAAATGCAAAAAACCAACCTCCAGAGCAGGGCCTAAAGAATGGGAAAAAGGAAGAAGTGGAAGTCAAGTCTGAACCGCCAGTAAAGTGTTTGGAAGCAGAAGTTTAAGCCATCTCAATGAACAGATGCCACATGAACAAATGGCATAAACCAATTAACAGTTTATGAATTGATAATTGTATGTTTTGCCAAAGTCAGTATTAGGTGTGTAATACAAACATTTTAGAGACCGAATGCCCAAAAACTGGCCCCGCCCCTGCTCCACTTCCCTGCTCCGCCTCTGCTCTGCCCCCCCATCCCCCGCCCCACCTGCCCACAGGACCACTCACCACCTCCAGGGCCCGCCGCAGATCTCCCAGGCAGCCCAGCAGCGCTATGGTGGCCACACTCTCTGCCCGCGCCCTGCAGCATCAACTGCATGATGGGGTGTGAGGGCAGAGTCTTGTCTACGCTGCCTGGCTGCCATGTCCCTGGCTGCATTGCCCCGTGTGGGCCACGCTCGAGGGTGAGTCTCCTTCAGGGGGGCTGCTGGAGAGGAGGGGGTCGTGGGGGGAGGCAAGGCTGGGGCAACGGCACGTGTGCCCACAGAGAGGGCTCCGAGTGCCGCTTCTGGCACCCGTGCCATAGGTTCGCCACCACTGTGTTAGCTTATACATTGTCAGTATAGGAATGATCTTCCTTTCAGTAACATCTATACAGCTCATATTTCCAGTTTTGTAACAAGCCTTTTTAGGGAGGAAGCGACGATATCTTTCCAAAACATGAATTCAGACATGCAACTCAATCAAACAAAAACGGAATTTTTTTTGTTATACAAAGGATTTTATGGAGAAACTTGAATATGCGAACTAGATTTAACAGAGAAACTGTTCCTGTATTTTTCAAAGGATGGTAACTTTAAAGTATATCTTTACTGAGAGGTCATCACAGAAGTTCAAAAGCATAGAGTGATGGAAAAGAACAAAGGGAAATGTCTGATTCACATGCTGATGAATCCAGCACAAATTGTTAAGTAACCATAAAAAATTATTTCTTGTGATTCCAGTTTGTGTCTCTTCCTGCCTTCTTTCCAGAAATCTAACAAATCACACACTATCAATTTTAAATAAGAGAAAAAAATTAAAAAATGAGAGCAATAAAATCGATTAATTATATTTCTTTTTTCCATGCATGCCATAGTCAAATTTATTTCAAAAATATTTAACAGCCCAATCATATGCATGTTTACTTAGAAATATATTCCATTTTATTTCCTGAACTTACTATCTAGTATGTTCAAGACTGCTATATAAAATTTGTAAATTGAGTGTTGTGGCTGTCACCATAATATACATGTAAATATAGGTATTTATCAGGATTTCATTGAAATAAACAAAAATTGCATAATTATTTAATACTGTAAATAGATACAAAAATTCACATACATACTCATCTTTTTCAACAACTGAATTTGTTCACAATTACTTTCCAATGATAGACAGATTCATCTGAAAAACTATAGAAATATATTTCATATTATATGGAGAACTTCTAGAAATACATATAACACCACTTTCATGCTTTTAATTACGTGTTTTGACAAATCATTTCATTGTCTACTTATATTACAAGTATATTTATTTCAAATACTGTAAGTACAGTGGAGTTCAATAGGTCTTACTCTCTAAATTAGTGTTTTAAGATTTTAGGTTTAAAAAGCCTAAATGTTACTGCTTTAGATGGGCCATACTTATTGAATTGGATTTGGATATTTGTGAAACATGAGATGAATATGAATTTCTTGGCTATGCTTTCCCAAGAAATCCATAGGTACCTGGTGTATAGGGGATATATTACAGGGACTGTGCTGCTAACATTCCTTTTTATGTAACCCCATCAAAATGTTGTTTATTTCTTTTACATTATTTACTAAATCTCTAAATCTAAATGAGTAGCCAGGGCTGGTAGTCAGAATTTGTCTGAAAGAAAAAATGCTTATTGCAATCCAATATGCTTTAATACATTTGCTCGGAAAAAAACATAGGTTGAAAATACCTGGAGCAATTAAAGAAATAGTTATTGGTTCAGGTAAATAATTCTTCATGCCATGTTAAATAATTAGCTTAAATAATCAATGGTTAGATTCTATTTTTCTTGCCAGGAAAGGAACATTTGTTAAAATGAATTAAATGAATTAAATGCTTTCTATGATAAAAGACCAGAAAAGAATTGTTGTTGTTCTTCCATGCTTTTTCAGAGTTTTGTTGATAGAACCTATGTCTTGAATTCATATATTTAATAATGTGCCAAAAACTATTGGATCCATGATTGTGATGGATATGATCTGTATACGAAATCAAGCCTGTGTTTCTTGCACCACAGATGTACCAAAGACTGTCAGATCAGCCAGACTGATAAAATTTGTTTTAATGGTGATTTTAAGTGAATCCTGTATATAACCTAAGCATCAGATCTAATATCAAAACTTTTGGATCCGTCAGAACTCACTGCTAGCACAGAGGCGGGATGTGATTTAATGTTGGTTTAGAAAGATTTCTTTTAAAAAAATCACGCAAAAGCAAGGTGATCTGAGTTTTACAGGCAGTTTTGTGGCATTGACTTGTACGTGTAAAAAAGGTCAGATCGATGTTAGGGTTCGATGCATGCATGCATGCTGGAAATTATTTGACAGCGGTGCACTTGAATCCTATAAAATTACGAGGATTTCAACAATCCGAAATTAATCTATTGACTCGTTTTCGCGCCACGCTGTCTCCAATAAGTGTTTATTGTAGGACTGCACTTGCACTATGCAATGACAATCCTTTCAAGGAATCCTTACCGGAAGATCACGCATAATCAATATTCCGACTCTTACTTCTTTGCCTCTTGTAATTTTAAAACACGTTGCAGGCTTGTAGAAAAAAAGATGACGACGAACCATGTAGTTACCCCCTCAAAAACCTCGGGCCAGTTCGGCTATTTTCGAGATCCTGGCAACCAAATAGGTAGCGAAACTTCAATACGTCAGCTAAGCGCGTCGGGACTCACCCTGTGCCGTATGTCGCGTCCTGACGTCACGCATTCTATTGGGCAAGCGGAGCGGGTAGGAGGGCTCGGCGCCCGAAGTGGGGCGGAGCCGTTGCTGGCGGAGGAGACCGTAGCTGCGAATTCGGAGCAGGATGTTGGAGCGACAGCGGTGAGGCTGCTGTGGAGAGTTTGGCTTTTTATGGGCCTTGATTCTGGAGGGGGGGAGGAGGGCCGGGGGGTGGTGGCTCTTCGCTTGCGCCCAGAGCTCGAGTTAAGCGAACAAGAACGGGAAAACGGGACCGGGGTGCGGTCGTGTCGTAGCCCATAATGAAGCCGTTTAAGACTTTATTTTTGACATTTTAATGACGTTTGCATTAGCACAGGGGTAGTCAACCTTGGCTCTTTTATGACTCGTGGACTTCAACTCCCAGAATTCCTGAGCCAGCACAGCTGACTCAGGAATTCTGGGAGTTGAAGTCCACGAGTCATAAAAGAGCCAAGGTTGACTACCCCTGCATTAGCATTTAGCATGCCCCCCCCCCCATTTCCTCCGATGTGCAAAAACTAGACCTTTCGGGGTCTGTTAACCAAATATTGGGCTGCGTTCTGAAGTGCAGGAGACGCAACGTATTTTAACGGGGGGTGTGTCTGTCTTTTGTCCATCGGATGTAATGCAACCCTATATAATGACTGGATCCCCCCCCCTTAATAAAGGCTTTCTTTTTTTTTTTTGCTTTGCTTGAAGTATTTGTGATTCGTAATGGGGGGGGGAAGAGCAGTCCAATTTGCAAGGTGTTGGGTGTATCTCTCTCAAATTCAAGGACTTGGTTCTTTCCAGCTCCAAGCCAGCCCAGGTGCCTGAGTTTTATGGGCACCATATGACCAGGTTCCTCCATGGTCATATGGAGGTTTGGCACCTGCTATTTTTTTGCTATGGGGCTCAAGAGGGCCAGCCCTGCCTGTGCCTGCCTTGCCCCTTGGCTCCTCGGAGTGAGCTAAGCCAAGCCTAGTCCAGTGTTTCTCAACCTTGACCATTTTAAGGCATGTGGACTTCAACTCCCAGAATTCCACAGCCAGCAATGCTGGCTGTGGAATTCTGGGAGTTGAAGTCCACATGCCTTAAAATGGTCAAGGTTGAGAAACACTGGCCCCTAGTCAGCTGCGAGGATAGTTGAGTTTGTTGAGTCTTGTGAATAAAGAACCACTTTCCTGGGTAGTTCAGGATTATCCAGGACTAGTATTGAGGATGTTACCTAGTTAAATGTCTGCAAGGAAACAACCAAGTTCAGAAAGCATCGACTTCTCAGTTCAGCCTCTTCAGAGATAAGTTTGTTTACAGTTTTTATCCCAGCTTGTTACGCCACAGGGAAATTGACTGATACCCTAACGTTTCTTGATGGCTCAGCAGGTGGCAGCACCTGCCCCACCTTCTCCGGACCCAAAAGCTCAGCAGGGCTAGACCGGGTTGGGTTAGGTTTGTTTAACCAGAAAGTTGAAAAACTTGTCCCAGAAGTAAGCAATGAGAAACTATGTTTTAGTGCTGTCACCAGGAGCTGAGCAGAACTTGAAGGCGACTATATTACTCATACAGCAACATCTGGGTTGATTTACAGAGATAAAACACTTTGGGTGCTTCTGAAATATATGTACTTGAACAGAATTCAAAAAAATTAGTGTCTCCTTTTCAAACAAGGGAATTTGGATTCAGGTAACCAGTTTTGGGTGTAATAATAACTGGAATACAGGTACCCCTCAACTTACAACCACAATTGAGCCCAAAATTTCTGTTAGTAAGTGAAAAATTGGTTAAGTGAATTTTGCCTCATTTTACGACCTTTCTTGCCACAGTTGTTAAGTGAACCACTGCAGTTGTTAAGTGAGTAAGAAGGTTAAGTGAATCTAGCTTCCCCACTGACTTTTGTTGTAAGAAGGTCACAAAAGGCATTCACATGACTCCGGAATACTGCAACTGTCATAAATATGAATCAGTTTCCAATGTCCAAATTTTGATCATGTGACCATGGGAATGCTGCATCGGTCATAAGTGTGAAAAACTGTCATAAGTCACTTTTTCAGTGCTGTTGTAACTGAACGATCACTAAATGAACGATTGTAAGTCGAAGACTACCTGTATCACAATTTTGGGGGACAATTCTGCAAAATGATAGCATATTAAAAACAGGTTGCTAGAATTCTGAAAAATGCTTCTACGGAGCAATGAAGTTACAGTTTAAATTACAGTTCAAACTGTAAAATTCAGGAATTTTGTTTATGTTCAAATGTTCATTTTACAAATTAATGCTTTCAATTTTTAAGCCTTGATTTATTTACTCTTTGGAAGTTCCACTCAACCCTATGAACAAGAGTGTTATTTTATAACTGGTATTACATTTCCCTGTTTAATATAATTACTTTTTAAATCTTTCATAATACTGTGATAATGTATCTGGTATATTGTTTTCAAATTAATGTCTGTTAGTAGACATTACAGTTTTACAGTTTTTCTTTGTTTGGTCTTTTAAGATTTAAGATAATGACTTTGTAATACACCTAGAAAACTCCAGCTACTGGATAGATAAAAATATATTTAGCAAAATGTAGAATGACAAATTAGAGCATAAAATAAATTATAGTCTTTAAATAATAGCTCTTTCTTCACCATAATTTGAGAGTTTTTTGCATGTCTAATATGTTCTCCTCCTTAATAGTCAACTAGATTTTGCTGTGCACTGTTATTTTCTGCATGGCTTCACCTGAATGAATGTTATTCTCTCCCCATTTAAAAAGTACTCGAGTTTAGTCTACAGAGTTTTAAAATTGTAAACTTGCAATTGTCAGCCATTATATTTTGTATTTTAGGAGTTACTAAAAATGTTAATAAAAATGTGCATTCACAGAATGTTAATTTTCCTATTAAGAATATGCTTGAGTTAGGTGTCAGTAGAATTGGATTTAATCTGACTTCATATCTGGTTAGCTCTATATAAAGCTGCTCCAGCTGAACTTGATAGCACGTAGTTAGCTTGAAGTTTATGCATTGTGAATTAAATGCAGTGATGATTATTTGTTCTAATACAGTGTTTTAAAATATATTTATCAGAAATTCTCTAAATGTGGAAAGCAGGATTTCGTCCTGGGACCTGAGCTAAAGCATTCTATCATGGGCCAGCAACTCTCAAGCCAGACCCAGACAGTTATAAATAAGCTGCCAGAAAAAGTTGTCAAGCACGTCTCTCTTGTTCGAGAAAGTGGCTTCTTGACATATGAAGAGTTTTTGGGAAGAGTAGCTGAACTTAATGACACGTGAGATTTTTTTCCCCTTTTATGCATATGATAGTTTACGTATTAAACAGGAACATGCTTAAGGCATTTCAGAATGAATTATTAGCAATATATAATGTATATGACTGCTTAATTTCTAATAGAAATAGAACAATTGCATTACATGTGTGATGTAAGGTTTAGATTCTCAGGATGTGTTTGGTCATATCTTAAACCACAACAAATACGAGGGCAATTTGGAAATAAACCTCCATTTGGTTGTCAATGGCAGACACTCACAGATACAGAACTTTTATTATACACATTAGAATACTACAACATTAAATTACTTTTCAACATAATCAGCATTCAAATTGAGGCACTTGTCATAACGTCTTACAAGATTTGAAATTCCTTAGTAGTAGTCGCTTGGCGTCAAATCTGGGCTATAGGGGAGGTGATCAAAAACATCCCAACGGAAATTCTTCAAAAATTCTTGGGTGCGTCTAGAGGTGTGCGGGTGAGCATTATCGTGAACCAATACCACGCTGAAAGTCAGCATGCCCCAACGCTTGTTATGGATGGCTCGTCTGAGTTTTTGTAACATTTCACAGTAGACTTCTGAAATGATGGTTGAACCACGCTCCATGAACTTCACCAGCAGTACTCCATTGGTATCTTCCCATTTGGCGGGATTTTCTATGGCATCACTTCCGATGTGTTAGTTCACGATAATGCTCACCCGCACACCACTAGATGCACCCAAGAACTTTTGAAGCAGTTCCATTGGGATTTTTGATCCCCCCCCCCATAGCCCAGATTTGGTGCTGAGCGACTACTACTAAGGAATTTCAAACCTTTTAAGACGTTATGACAAGTGCCTCAATTTGAATGGCGATTATGTCAAAAAGTAATGTAATGTTGTAGTTTTCCAATGTGTATAATAAACGTTCTGTATCTGCGAGTGTCTGTTATTGATAACCAAATGGAGGTTTATTTCCAAATTGCCCTCATACTTTGCGATCAGGACATTATCAGATGTATATTGTAATGTTTTTCAAATTGAAACTAGTAGATAGGAGAGAAGCTTATTTCCCTTATTTAAGACACCATAATAAATTACATAAGAGCAATAATAAATCTAGTACTCATTCATTGAAACCTCACAATGGCAGTTAAATCAGTTGATGCAAACCTAAACCACTGCTTAGCCATTTTAATATTGAGCTACTTGGAAAATATTTTACTTTCTTTGCAATTATCACTTTGTTAAAAATGTGTTCTAAAATTGAATCTCTGTTGGACATGAATGCATTTTCCAATTTGTACTTTTAGGAGGAAAATAAACACTGTAGTTGCAAACATATGTTGCCTTATACTGAGTCAGATAATTAGTATATCTAACTCAGCATTTATCTAGGGTGACTAGTAATGTGTCTCCAGGGTATCTGACAGGGATCTTTCCTTATCTGGTTATGAAGGAATTAAGCCTGAGATCTTTTGTGTGTAAACCATATACCAAATCACTTATGTACAGTTCTTAAAATCAGGAGTTGCATGAAAACACATGCTTTATATAAACACATGTTTGTATAAAACATAAATTTTCCAGCATTTTGGCTGGAATCATAGCACATAATTATTTTAAAGTTGTCCTCCCGCAGGACCACAAATGAAGATGAACCAGAGAAAGAATAATTATATTCCCAAGAAGCCAAATCAAAGAAAGATGAGTGTTTGTGTTACAAGCAAAGGGTTGGAAATGACTTCCTTGATTAGTTCTCCTGGCAGTCCTCTGGAAACAGGTTTCCAGGATCAGAGGATTTTGATGAACGTTGTTGGCTTTTAGCAAGATTCTTCCAGACTAGATAAAGATGATATCAACAAGTCTTTTCATGAAAGCTGCTTGGGAAGGGACTGAGTGGGAAAGTCAATTTCCACCAAACCCATTCCACAAATCACCTTGTTTGGATCCAACCCTAAGTTTGAAAATATATTTGGTTGCAATTTGTACATCATAACATCATAATGTTTAAAGTGTGTATCCTCTTGTGCTATATATGTATAGAATGTTAAATAAATGTTAAATAATTCCAGAACTGCACAATTAGCTTCTGGCCACAACAAGCATCTGTTATTTGAAGTGCAGCCAGGGTCTGATGCTACAGCTTTATGGAAGGTGGCTGTTCGGATAGTTTGCACTAAAGTAAGTTTATCACAATCTTAAATTCTCTAATTCATAGCAACATATAATGCACACTAAGCATAAATATGGTGGATGTTCATGGTTAATTAGAAAAAATGCCACATTTTCATAACTTATTAAAATATGTAGCTTGCTATGCTTATAATGTTTTGCTTGTTATAATTGTACTAACGTGTGATTATTAATGTGTCAGTTACCATTCTGAAATTAACCAAAGAGAGAAGCAACCTATAATTAAGTGAGAAATTTCCTGACAGAACAATTATTAAGTGGAACAACCTGCCTCCAGAAGCGGTGAATGCTCCAACACTGGAAGTTTTTAAGAAGAGACTGGACAGCCATTTGTCTGAAATGATATAGGGTTTCCTACCTGAGCAAAGGGTTGGACTAGATGACCTCCAAGGTCCCTTCCAACTTTTATTATTATTATTATTATTATTATTATTATTATTATTATTATTATTATTATTATTATTATTATTATTATTATTATTATTATTATTATTAACATTATTATTAACATTATTATTAACATTATTAACATTATTAACATTATAAAGGCATTTATAGCATGATCTCATAATGTCAAATCTCTGAGTTTAGGAACTCTTGATTTACATTGCTCTAAAAATAAAATTATAATATATGGTGAAATGATTCAAGAAAAATGATAATGCTGCTCTCTGTGTTATAGATAAACAAGACAAGTGGGATTGTGGAAGCTTCAAGAATCATGAACTTGTATCAGTTCATTCAACTTTATAAAGATATTACAAGTCAGGCATCACAGGTTCTTTCACAGAACGCTCCCTCAGAAGGAACAGCAGAAGATCTGTCATCTGTTGAATCTTGTCAGGCTAGCCTTTGGATGGGAAGGTATTTGAAGTACTCTAAAAAAAAATGTTTGAATCTGCTCATTCAGGTAGAAAAAGTCCAGTTTCTTGCCACAGCAAGGAGTTTAGTAAACTTGATTCAGTTTAGGTGAGGGTTGCCATTTATTATAAAAATGTGCAATGAATGAATGCTCAGTCGTTAAGTCTATCTTTTTTTTTACTGAAAATATATGTAAGCTTTTCTGAAAAAGAGGCATCCTCTTTTAAAGAAACGTCCTCTAGTGATGAATATTCATTTTGAAAAAGAAATAATCTATCATTCATATTAATTTTCTTCATTCTGGAAAATTTTGAGATGATTCAGAGAGCTGAAAGGACATTAAATCACTTTTGTGCTAGAAAACTATTGGAAATAGGCACCTAGATAACAGGAATAAATATTTGCCACTGTGTACAACAATCTGTATGGTGCTTTTGGATATGTGTGTGTGTAAATGTTCATGTACCACTCGGGGTATACAATCCTTAGTAATTGTGTACATGTTGAAGAGAAGCAAATAACAAACTTCTTATTTATACATCAGTCTATGATTATTCTTTTTAAATACTTTTTAACATTTTAATGTGTCATAAGTTTTGTTTATAGAACACCAAGTTTTTTGTATAATAATGGTCTCCTTCCTCCTTTCTTAGGACGAAACCCAGATAGTTTCTTGCAAATTGAATGTGAAATTGCTTTTAGTGAATGAGGGATTAGAGGATTATAATTATTCATTATAAAAGTATTTAACCTAGAAACAATTCAAGGTATACTACATGTACAATTAAAGTTCTGGATATCTTTGATTATGAATAAATAATACATTTGTATTGTAGGGTGAAGCAGCTTACTGATGAGGAAGAATGTTGCATTTGTATGGATGGACGTGCTGATCTGATCTTGCCCTGTGCCCACAGCTTTTGTCAGAAATGCATTGATAAATGGTAAATCAGTTAAATCTCATGAACAAATTATACCATGTTTAATGAAGAAAGGAAATAAATCCTTATTTTCAGTGCCATCTCATATTTCCAAGTTCAGCTGAAACTAGTCCTGGAATTTCACACACATACAAATATGTGCATTTTATATACTTGCATATTTGAGAAGGTATGCGTACATGCTACTCAGAAACCTCAAGAGGCATGCCAGCACAAAGTAAACAAATTAATATTAGCTATTACACTTTTAAATTAAACCCCTGTAAAATAAAAAGTGATTAAACTAATAGATCAGCGAAATACTGTGGATGTAGTATACTTAGACTTCAGTAAGGCATTTGATAAAGTAGACCACAACCTACTTCTTGGTAAGCTAGAAAAAGGTGGAATAGACAACATCACCACCAGATGAATCTGTAGCTGGCTGGCAAACCGTACTCAACGAGTAGTCCTCAATGGCACTACATCCACATGGAGAGAAGTAAGCAGTGGGGTACCTCAAGGTTCCGTCTTAGGCCCAGTACTCTTCAATATCTTCATCAATGACTTAGATGAGGGAATTGAAGGGGAACTCATCAAATTTGCAGATGACACCAAACTGGCAGGAGTAGCCGACATCCCAGAAGAGAAACTCAGGATCCAAAAAGATCTTGACAAACTTGAACAATGGGCCCTATCCAACAAAATGAGTTACAGTGTGCAGAAAAGCAAAGTTTTATATTTAGGCAGCAAAAATCAAAGGTATAAGTACAGATTGGGCGAGACTTGCTTAAAAACAACTGTGAGAGGGACCTTGGAGTCCTAGTGGATGATCACTTGACCATGAGCCAGCAATGTGCAGCAGCAGCCAAAAAAGCCAATACAATTCTGGATTGTATAAACAGGCATAGAATCAAGATCACACGAAGTATTAGTACTGCTTTATAAACCCTAGTAAGACCACACCTGGAATACTGCAGCCAATTTTGGTCACCATATCACAAAAAAGATGTTGAGAGTTTGGAAAAAAATTAGAGAAGAGCAACTAAGATATTCAAAGGCATGGAGACTAAAGCATACGTAGAATGTAGAAGCATACGTAGGACTTGGGTCTGGCTAGTCTAAAGAAAAGAAATAGGGGAGACATGATAGTAGTATTCCAGTATTTGAGCGGCTGCCACAAAGAATAGGGGGTCATGTTATTTATCAAAGCACCAGAGGGCAAGAAAAGAAACAATGGTTGGAAACTGATCAAAGAGAGATGCAACCTGGAATTAAGGAGAAACTTCCTGACAGTGAGGAAAATTAACCAGTGGAACAGCTTGCCTCCACAAGTTTGAGCAGTAAGGCAGAGACATTCTCAGCAGAATATTCAACCTGGTTATATTTCAGTTTCTCTGCTCCATTTATTTCCTAAGTCAGGGGTCCCCAATCTATGGGCCGCAGGAATGGCTGGCCAGTGCACAGATGTATGTGCACATACTCCCTCCCCACTCATGCTAGCACCCTTGGCTCCAGTCGCCTGTGGGCGTGAATGGGGCTGCTAGCACCAGGCGGATGTGCGTGGCCCGTTTATGCATGCGTGAATGAGGCCACTAGCACGGGGCGGGTGTGCGCTGCCCATTTGCGCGTGTGCATGCAAATGAGTACTTTAAATATTTTGCCTCTTATTATAACCCCAACCTCATAAAAAAGCCAAAACAGATCTGCAAATTTTAGCCATCATGCCATTCTGTGATACTGATAGGGTTTGCTATATCCTTACATCTTAGCCAAGTGATAGCTGAATGCAGTCAGTATTTGTTGACAGGTTGACCAATTACTTTAAATTATAGACATTTGGGTTAATATAAATTTTTTCAGTTAAAAAACAACAGGATGTTTTTCTTTGGAAACTTAACATCTCATTGCCTGATGACTTTCAAAAACGGGTCTGCGCAATCTGTGTTGTGGATATTCTCACTATCATTTTTAGCATGCTCTTGTAAATAAAGCACTCCTCCTTTAGCCTTTTATCCAAGATCCTATTTTATCTTACTATGAGAGCAAAGGTAGTCCTGTGCATTGTCAGTACAAAATCTGAAAAGCAGTGACGGTTTCTTCTGACTTCCTTTACAGGAGTGGTCGTCACAGGAATTGCCCTGTATGCCGCCTACAGGTGACTGCTGCAAATGATTCTTGGGTTGTATCTGAAGCTCCTACGGAGGAAGATATGGCCACTTACATACTCAACTTGGTGGATGGGGCAGGCCAGCCCCATATACCCTGATGTTAGTCTTAACATTCATAGTCTTAACATCTCCCAAGATATCATTTTCATTATTTTTCATTTCTTTATTCACTACATTAGTTTCTAGAAGCTAAATCATTATTTTTTCAATAACAACTAGTTCTTTGAAAGCCTACCTGTATTTATTAATTTTATTAATTACTCTGATAACATTTTTACAGTCAATACACTATGAATTTTCTGATGTTTCATGAGGTACTGCAATAGGAAGTATTTTAGTTCTAGTAAAACTGTTACGTGTTTGTTAAAAGTTGACTTCATTGTCTTAGTTGAAGAATGTGGGTGGTTCGCAAGTCCTGTTGTCCAACACTGTCTAAAAACAATGCTCAAATACTTAAATGTGAATTAAAATGACTAGCGTTCTTGAACGTAGTAGTTTCTGTTCTCCCTCCTAGGAAATATTGCAACTGTTGTTATTGACATGCGATTAAATCAGTAATTGGTATGTTACATTCCTTTTATGGTATCTTTTATGAAAGCAGGTTTTTTTTTTATAAATGATGGACTTTTTCATTTTCATCAAAGACAATTTTCTAAACCAGTATTAATTACTTAAAGTTTGTCTATGCAGTATCATGGATGGATCCAGCAAAATAGCTTCTCTATTAGTGGAAGGCTTCTGATGTAGCAGTCTTTATTCCCGTTCTCCCATCTCTTCATTTCCTACATGCTTTGAACAGCTGTCCCCTGGGCTAAAACCTCTCCGAAACAGTGAATCTCTGAAACATAGTGTGGATAGTAAAAAAAAAAATCTTCTATATTCTGCTCTGTCTCTTGGGAAATATTTCTGGCAAAAGACTTGTTAATTACAAAATTTGGCTGAAACAGGTTTATTGTTAATGTAGTTTATTTTGTTTAGCTTAGCCTTCTATTTACCAGTTTGTAAGATATGCTATTACTGTGAAATGAGATGCTAAAGCACAGAGATTCTTACTTTCTTTTCCTGTAGGTACAATCTGAAGCAAAAAAAAAGAATCTTTCATTTTATTGTGATCACTTTGCTTTAATGTAGTATGCATGTTGCAATTGAATGTTGGTGTGAGGTATGACAATGTGTCCTTAATTGTTACCCTACCAGATGACATTAATAGCTGCCAGAAAGCCACCATTTTCCAATCCACAAAATTGGTCCTGAGTGATTTTTAAAATTTTATTTCAAATAGCAGCTTAAAATGGGCCTAGCCCCCCAAAATCAAGTCCCTAGGCAGATTGGGCCAGCACAAATCCCCAAATTGATGCAGTACTGATGTTGGATTTTACATTTTTCACAACTGCTATTATTATAATTATTATTTATAGAATAGATTTGGCACCACACAAGGAAAGATGGGGTAATAGTTAAATATCATGAAGGTCTTATGGCCTTATTTGGAATTGCCTGGTAAATATGTATAATAATAAAATTGTTTTCTACTGTTGCTAAAATGATGCACATAAATATAGGTTAAACTAATTAAATTGCACACCTACACTATTAGCTGAAAGATTTCTATAAATTACATTCGGATATTGAGCCTTACCACTTCAGAATATGACAAACATATTTTTGAGAGATTATCAAATTCTAAATTAAAATAGAGTAAAAATTAGTGTTTTTCCTTTTTATATAATATGATGTGAAGGTTTGAAGAGCATGTCTTATTACTTAAGAAAGCTTTGATATAGAGAAATTCACGTATTACAAGTATTCTTTCTGACAATTGATTTTTAAGTGGGCTTTAAAATTCAGAGTAAACAAAACTTATTTTCTTGTTTTTGTTTTGATGTGTTTTTCACTTGTTATAAAGCTGATCGTGGATTTGATTTTCCCTATACCCTAGATATATTTGGACGTGCAGTGCTGTGATTAAAGTGTCCAATACTTTAATACTGACATGGTAGAAACAATAACCCATTCTTTTTTTTTCTTTGTGTAAGGTTTGATTGATAGCACAAATATTTGAAATGTAAGCAGTAGATCATTAAGTCCTGATATTGCTTTTCCTTTTTTCCTGTCACGAGTATAAAAACTGTACACCAAATCGTGAGAGATGAAAGCTTTAAAATATGGGTATGCAGTCCACAGAGGGGACATGAAATTATAGGTTCGGTAATTTCACAATTGTAAATATGTGTAAAGTGAAAATGTGAATTATGTAGTGTTTCTATCCTTTTAAATATGCACATTAATACAAGTGTTACAATATTGATCCATAGTTAATATATATGTAAGACACTATATATATTATGTATATATGTATATGTATATATATATATATAGTGTTTTGCAGATTACCTATGGATCATTTGCTGTCTTCCTTTTCTGTTTCCATTGTGTTGTGAAGCTGTGGCTTTTGTTAAAGGACTTACAGGAGAAGCTATACCATTCAAAAACATGGAAGAAGAGATTACTACAAGTTGCTTACCCATGCCTTTTGACACAT